ACTACAGTAAGTAGTCTTTGTAACGTGAGTCATCATTGCTGCTACATTTAGGAAGGGTTTGCAAGGTGTCATGCACTTGCTATGACATGGGGAGTATCTGAACCCTCACAGCAACCTATGGGAGGGTCCTGCTCCTAAGCCCATGTTACAGATGAGGGAACCAGGTTTGGAGAGGTTAGCTAACTCGCCCAAGGTCACACAGTGAGTGAGTAGCAGAGCCCACATTCAATTCCAAGTTGTCTGACCCCGGAATCCACGCTCTTAACCATCTGCCTCCTTCTTAGTGCATCTAACAAGCGCTCAGTAAGTGGTGGTTGTAATTGTAGCCGGTGTCAGCTCTGCCAGGAGGCGGTGTGTGTGACCGCAGAGTAATTTGGAAGAGAGGTGGTCATTGTACTTCCAGGCTGAGTTGTGTTCATTCTACTCATTCCATTCCTCCTGCTGCTCAGGAGCCCTCATGCATTCCATCTTGCTCTCCTCCCACTCCTTGCTTTTCCAGAGCCTCTGGTCTGACCGGTGCAGTGAGTGGCCACCTGCTGAATACCTCTGCCGTTTGCCTTGATGTCATGCATCACTGACCAGCTCCCCACGCAGGAGCTCGGGCTGTTGACCTTGATCCATAGGGGTTCCCCTTCTTCTTCCTGCTCCTCTCTAGGACTCTGCTGAGTGGCAGCATTGATTCAGACTCTCCTCGTCCCCTGAGATCATGGGAAATCTTTATCAACCTGCTGTGAGATGGGTTGAAGGACAGGCCTTGGAGCCACCTGCTCGTGAATGGAGAGCAGATCAGTCCTGAGAGCAGAGCCACCTTCTGTCTTCTTACCTGAGCTTACGTTTAGCCAAGTGCTGTCTTATCATTTTGACGAAGACCGTGAGTTCATTATTCCTCATGATCTGGGTTCATGTCTGTTGAGCACTGGCTGTTTACTGGGACCTGTGCTAAGCCTTTTCCATACTTTATACCGTTCGCTCCTCCACACCAGTGCTGTTCAGCGCTTTCTGCAGTGATGGGACGCCTGTGTCTGCTCCGTCCAGCAGGGTACCCTCCAGCCACACGTGGTCTCTGAGCATTTGAAATGTGAATAGTGCAACTGAAGAACTGGGGGAAATGGGAAACTATAGAGGAAAATACTGACAGATTTGACTACATAAAAAAATTAAAATTTCTCAATAGGAAAAAACACACCAAAAGCAAAGTTTAAATGTCAGTTGAGACTGGGAAAAAACAAACAAACAAAAACACACCCCAAAACAGAAAACAGTGCAACAAACAGGGTTAAATTCTTAACGAATAAAGAGCTGCAGCAGATGGGGGGGGGGGGGGGGCGTATATAATACTTTCAACAATAATGATTTTTTTTTTTAAAAAGAGCCGCGCCCTAACCGGTTTGGCCCCGTGGATAGAGCTTCAGCCTGCAGACTCAAGGGTCCCAGGTTCGATTCTGGTACCTTGGTTGCGGGCACATCCCCAATAGGGGATCCGCAAGAGGCAGCTGATCGATGTTTCTCTTTCATCAATGTTTCTAACTCTCTATCCCTCTCCCTTCCTCTCTGTAAAAAAATCAATAAAATATATTTTAAAAAAAAAAAAAAAAGAGCCGCAGCAGATAAGCAAAGCCCAGCAGCCAGGAGATTGGGGAGGTTATGAATAGGCGCTTCACAGAAATGTGAGAGACAAATGGCTAATAAAGCTGCCCAACCGCATTAGTGATCAGAGAGACACAATTTAAAGCAGTTAAGCACTGTTTTCCATCGGTTGGAGCAGCAGAAATTAGACTAGGTCCATCCTGTGTTGGCCAGCTTGGTCAGTGTGGAAACTGACCCACCTTTTAGACAGGCGAGTGGCCGGCTCCAGCCACATGGTGAACGTGTGTGTTCTTTAGCTCCGCAGTTCCACGCTGAGCACTCACCGGGCATATCACCCACACAGGGATCCACCCATGCTCGTCGCAATATTTTGTGCAATATCAGAGAATTGGAGCTAGTAGCCATGTCTGACCATGGTTAAAGCATGGTGCCGCCCATGGTAGAATACAGTGTGGCTATGAGAAGAACACAGTGGATGTGGATGTAGTGATGTGGAAATATACACCTGATGTATTGTTAAGAAAAAGCCGCTTTCAGAACAATGAGTACAGTATGATCCTATTTCACTTTTTAAAATCTGTGCATGGCCCTGGCTGGTTTGTCTCAGTGGATAGAGCATCGGCCTGCAGACTGAAGGGGCCCTGGGTTCAATTTCGGCCAAGGGCACATGCCCGGGTGGCAGGCTCGATCCCCAGTAGGGGGCTTGCAGGAGGCAGCTGATCAATGATTCTCATCATTGATGTTTCTAATCTCTCTCTCCCTCTCTCTTCCTCTCTGAAATCAATAAAATATATTTTTTTTAAATAAAATCTGTGTATGCAGGGAAAGGGCTGGGAGGACACACACACACACAAGCTGTTGACAGTGAGGAACAGGGAGTAGGCGGCTTTCATATTTATATCCACTTCTGTGTCACTCGCATTCTTAGGACGAGCAAATGTTGTTTCCAGAATAATTTTTTTTTTTTTTACTGTGAGGAGACTACTTTAGTGGAATAAAACATGCCGAGCTTCGCCAGGACACAGCCCGTGCTAATGCAGGAGCCAAGGAGTCTGTTCTTGCTTCAGTAGAAAAGACAATAATCTGCACAGCACCAGCTTCTGTGGTTGGCTTGATTTAAAATGTGCATTAAAAGGAAATCGTTGCGCTTATAGCTTACCCACACTCGTCAGTGGAAGGCCTTTGCTGCTCCCAAAATAGCACTCAGCACGGGCTGCGTCCTAGCGCCTTCCCTCAAGCAAAGGCACGGTTCTCACCGCGGTTCCCTCCATGGGTCCCCGGGCCTCGCACTTCCAGGAGCCAGGGGAGCAGACAGGCCCCTCTGGCACCACCCCCACCCCTGAGCCCAGCCTGACAGCAGCTGGCTCAGAAATAATTTTGTTCAAGAAGATATTTTAATTTATTTCAGAGAGAAAGGGAGAAGGAGATAGAAACATCAATGTTGAGAGAGAGTCACTGATCGGCTGCCTCCTGCACGCCCCACACTGGGGATCGAGCCCACCACCCGGGCACGTGCCCTGACTGGGAATCAAACCGTGACCTGGCTCATAGGTCAGCACCCAACCACTGAGTCATGCCGGCCGGGGAGGAATAATTTTTTTTAAGGTATCTTGACCTGAGAAGGGAGTCTGCGTTCTAGCCGTGGCTCCCTCATTTAGCTAAACACATAGTGAAGGTGGCTTCAGTCACCTTCTCTGTTTAAACATAAATGAGTAAAAATTTAAAACTTGTCCATGTTTTCAAGTGGGAGAGTGGGCATGGCTACTTTCACAGCGAAGAAGATGGATAGGCCTGTTTTGCTCTTTTACTTAGGGAGTCACACTCCATCTCTGAGGGTGCTTCTGGCTCTAACATTAAGCCCCTGACCTCAGATCTCCTTGGATTTTGAAATAAAAAATAAATAAAAAAAACACAACCACGGACCTTGGCGGTGTGGTTTTCGGTAGTCAAGTGCACAGAAGACTTTTGGCCGCTGCTGCCAGGGAGTCGTGTGGTTTTCACGGGCTCACTGCTCTTCCTGTCCGTTCTGGAAACCTCTCCTCCTGGGCTTATTTTGCCTGCCTCTCGGGACGCAGGGCAGACCCGAAGGACCGAGCCTGCCCTGGCCCGCAGGCCTGCGGCTCACTTGGTCGCTGGGGAGAGACTGTCTCTGTGGTGCGGCCGGATGGGGGCCTCTCTCCAGGAGCGCGTGCTTGCTGGTGTGGCTGATGCGTCTCGCCTGCTGCCGCCTCCACTGCGGCTTCAGGAACACTTGAGAGCAGGTTTGTCCAGTGCCAAGAGCTTAAACCTGAGCTGAGCGAACAGGGATGTGCTCTTCCATCGTGTCCTTCCCCCTCAGGCCATGGCAGGGGCAACAGCAGAGCACGAGAGAATGGCTGAAATGAAGGTGCAAAGACGGTGCCTGGGGCTTTCTTTGAAAGGGGCTCCTGCCTCCTAACTGGTTGCAGAGAACTCAGTCCAAACATCTGGGCTTCACCCGGCCGGCGTGGCTCAGTGGTTGAGCATCAGCCCGTGAACCAAGAGGTCGCTGGTTCGATTCCCGGTCAGGGCACATGCCCAGGTTGCAGGCTCAATCCCCAGTAGGGGGCAGGCAGGAGGCATCTGATCAATGCTGTTTCTCTTTCATCGATGTTTCTCTCTCTCCCTCTCCCTTGCTTTCTCTCTAAAAGTCAATAAAGACTTTTTTTTAAACCCACAAATTAAAAATAAATAAATAAATAAACCCCCACAAATATCTGGGCTTTCTTCGCCTTCACTAAGCGGGTCGAGCTGCCCTCACCTTCGCCAGCCGGGTGGCGTTTGCTCGGAGCTGCACTTCGTCCCGCCCGCTGTCCACATCTTGTATCAGTCCACCTGAGGACAGTGTCCTCCTTGGTGTAGGGCTTGCCATGAGCCTGGCATGTTCCCAGATCCGTGTCCAGCCTCGTCAGGCTCCTCAGGCAGATCCTTGCCGGAGGCTGGCATGGAGACCGTGGCAGCCAGTGTCCGAGCCCATCAGCCCTTAGCTTTTCCAGAGGAGCAGCTTGGAGCAAGGCCTTTGTGTGGCACAATCCGGGGGCGGGGGGGGCATTTACACTGGGCACGGGGGTTCGTTTAAGTGGGTAATAACATTCTAACTAGCAACCCTGGGGCTGTGTAGCTCAGTGACCCAGGCTCGGACCCTGGTACCACCTGAGACCTCCGCATGCAAAGCACCTGGCAGAGCCTGAGGGGCCTGAGCTGCAAGGACACAGCCTTGGTCTCTGGACCCTGCAGTGCAGGACGGGCAGCAGTGCAGGCAGATGGAGGCGGACCCCCTCTCGGTCACCATGAAGACGCCTTTCGTCTGGTTTTCTCAGCCACCTTCCCGGTTCCCGGGCTCCTGTGGCCTCCTCTGTCTCCATCTCCGATCTAAGGTGGCTGTTCCCCTTCAGTTGCAGAGCTACTTCGCGGCGTGTGAAGATGAGACCCCTGCCATCCGGAACCACGACAAGGTGCTGCAGCGCCTGTGTGAGCACTTGGACCACGCCCTGCTGTACGGGTAAGCGGGCAGCTGGAGGAGGCGGCGGGCAGCACAGGGCACGGCCGGGCCATGCGCGGCCTCCGGAGAGAAGTCCCCGGCCTCGTCCGCCTTCTGTTGCTCCCTCCCTTGGCGGGGAGAAATGTGTCTCGCTCAGGTGGGCCGCAGGCGGTCTGTGGTTATCCGGGTAAATTGTCTCTGAGCAGGCACACGAAGGGGGGAGAAGGAGTAGGTGAAATGGGGAGGCACGGTGCCTGTGGGTCCCGCCGGGAAGCCATGGCTCTTGGCCTTGAGCTCACGACTGACGCAGCTGGTGGGCCCGCTGCCGGCACCTTCCCCGGGAGCCCTGCCCAGGGACAGCAGCTCCTGTCCTCTCCTCAGGCTGCAGGACCTCTCCTCTGGCTACTGGGTGCTCGTGCTGCACTTCACCCGCAGAGAGGCCATCAAGCAGATCGAGGTGCTGCAGCACGTGGCCACCAACCTGGGGCGCAGTGAGTAGTGCAGGTGGATGCTGGGAAGGGCCAGCTCCGCTCTCCCTGTGGGTGGCTCGGGGCTTAGGTGCGGCCTCCTGGTCAGCCCCGGGAGCCAGTTCCCGTGTGATGTCCAGAGGCAGTGGGACCCCCAATGCCAGTGCCCTCCAGAGGCCCCTCCTCCCTGCGAACGGCAGTCTGTGGGAGCGTTGAGGACGGGGTGAAGGAGAGTGGGATACTGAAGAGAACCCCAGCCGAGCACATAATGGGTCCCGCTTCCCTCCTTGATGAGGATCAGTGTTAGCCTGCAGGGTCGTGCAGAATCCTTGCCTTTATCAACCCCCTGGAGTTTAAAATCTGCCCTCTTTGTCCAGCTTCCTGGGCAGCCACAAGCTAGGGGCTTACGGGAAAATAAAGATTTCCGGGTCGTGGCCCTCCAGGAGGAGGCGAGGCTGTTGGCGTGCGTGGTCCCCTCCCCAGCGCGGTCTCTCCTCCCTGCCCAGGCCTGGCACACGCACTGCGCCCTGGCAGACCTTCCTCCCAGTGACTCCTGCCCTTGTTTGCAGGCCGGGCCTGGCTGTACCTGGCCCTCAACGAGAACTCCCTGGAGAGCTACCTGCGGCTGTTCCAGGAGAACCTGGGCCTGCTGCACAAGTACTACGTCAAGTGAGTGCGCGGTCTGTCCCCGCAGCCCCCGAGCTGCCCTGGCGCCTCGTCCCACAGGCTCTTGCCACATGCAGACACCGTGGTATGCCCCCTCAGAGGCCCGGCCTGGCACTGCCTGCTGAGGACACGTCAGTGCCGGCCACAGGGCCCTCCGAGCCCGGCCTGTGCGGCTGGTGCCAGGAGCTCAGGGCTCCGGCTGGGCTCCTGTGTTTGGTGCTCTGCCCCCGCCTGATCCTCTCCCCGGGCCTCAGACCAGACTAGAATGTGCAACCTTTGCTGGGGTCGCTGCAGGATCCGAGTATTTATAGCAGCTGCTGTGAGCCAGCTGGGCCTTACGCCACAGGCCCCGGATCTGAAGACACTGGCGGGAACTTGCCGTGTGGCCCAAACCCAGCAGGAGAGGCTGGGAAGGGGTGGGTGAAGCTGCCTCCAGCCAGGTGCCCTCAGGGAGAGGGGTGTCACATGTCGCATTTCAACACAGCGGGCTTGTTGGCGAGGGAGGGCGAGCTGGACCCCAGCCCAGCACCACCACCGTCCCCTCCGTGCCTCACAGGAATGCCCTGGTCTGCAGCCACGACCACCTGACTCTCTTCCTGACCTTGGTGTCTGGGCTGGAGTTCATCCGCTTCGACCTGGACCTGGTGAGACCCCGTGGCTCTCCCCGCTCTCGGGGCAGAGGAGTGGGTGGGTGGGCACGTGGTGTCCATTCTGGGGAGTCTCCAGGTGTGACCGGGCCTGAGCCACTCTGTGTTTATGCAGGTGAGGGCGGGTCAGGGTCGGCACTTGGGAGTGAGAGGAAGGGTGTGATTCTCTCTTGGCCTGAGGCCAGATATCCTGGTTTGGCTGACTCCTTCCATCTCTGTTCCTCCTGGGAGAAGAGCCACGCTGCCTGGATGGTTAGGACATGAGTGTTTGAGGGGGACAAGGCCAACGCACCCCTATGCCTCCTGGGGTCCTGGAATTGCCACCGGCTCTGGCTCTCAGCCTCTCTCCTACATTCACACACTAGAGACGTTCAGTGCCGGCCCAGATCGAGCTGAAGGGGCCCATGGCACCTCGGACGCAGCTGCCCCGTCCGAATCCAATCCCCTTCCTGGGTCCCTGCCCGGTCGGCACAGACTGAAGAGGAGGAGGAATTAGGGGAAACGAGCAATTCGAACAGTGAGAGGTCAGAGACGGACTAGAAGGCCTCGCTGGTCCTGTCCTCTCTGTGGGCCTTGGGTCCGGCTCTCAGCGCCACACCCATCGCATCACTCGTTAGCAGCTCGTTTCTGCAGTTAGTGCCTTAAGCCCGTTGGTTTCCCAGAGAAACGCTAGCACGGGGGAGGGTGTGACAGGCAGGCCCGTGGCTCTCGAACCCGGCCCCAGACCTGTCTTTCTCCTCTCGCCTCAGGACGCCCCCTACTTAGACCTGGCCCCCTACATGCCCGACTACTACAAGCCTCAGCACCTGCTGGACTTCGAGGACCGCCTTCCCAGCTCGGCCCACGGCTCCGACAGCCTGTCCCTCAACTCCTTCAACTCGGTCACCTCCACCAACCTGGAGTGGGACGACAGTGCGATCGCCCCGTCCAGTGAGGGTAGGTGGCCGGGCAGACAGGAGCCAGGCCTCCGCGCTAAAACCGATTCGAGAGCCCCTTGTGCCCGGGCAGGGCGGCGTCTCTCTCGGCTCCTCCTGGTCCCTAGTCCTGGTCCAGTGGCTGAAGTGAAAGTCAAACAGGGTCAGCGTCTCTCAGGTCCTCGTTTCTTCCAAGCCCCTGTGGAAGCAAAGAAAGTGACTCTGGAGACAAAAAGTGAAACAGTCTTGGGACGGATCTTGGGGGTGTGAGACACTTTTCTAGAAGGCTGTAGCCCCAGGCCCGGGCAGTTTTCCGAGTGAGGAGGGATTAGCGTGTGACCAGGAGACTTCCTCTCATCGCAGGGGTGAGGGCGCCCACCCCAGATTTTAGGCAGAAAGAGGCTAAGGAACCACTGGAAAGAGAAGAAAGCCAGGTGGATGCAAAGCTTAGGGGAAACCTGCCAGCATTTCTCATGAGTCCCTCCCGCACTTGTTAGTGTGTCCGCGAGGACTGCACCCATCGCATCAGAGGCTGAAACAGAAGGTCATCGCATCTGGGGGTCATTGTGATGTCTTGATCCAAAAGCTTTACCGAAACAGCCTGGCTCCTTCCAAGCCTTGGGCCTCTGTGTTCATGCATTTTTTATTTTATTTTATTTTATTTTATTTTATTTTATTTTATTTTATTTATTTTATTTTATTTTATTTTATTTTATTTTATTTTATTTTATTTTATTTTATTTTTAATATATTTTATTGATCTTTCACAGAGAGGAAGGGAGAGAGATAGAGAGCCAGAAACATTGATGAGAGAGAAACATCCATCAGCCGCCTCCTGCACATCTCCCACTGGGGATGTGCCCGCAACCCAGGTACATGCCCTTGACCGGAGTTGAACCCGGGACCTCTCAGTCCGCAGGCCGACGCTCTATCCACTGAGCCAAACCAGTTTCGGCTATTTATTTATTTTTAAAAAGTATATTTTTACTGATTTCAGAGAGGAAGGGAGAGAGAGATAAAAACAACAGTGATGAGAGAGACGCATTGCCCCTCACTGGGGATCGAGCCCGCAACCCGGGCATGTGCCCTGACCATGGATTGAACCGTGACCTCCTGGTTCATAGCTCAATGCTCAACCACTGAGCCCCGCTGGCTGGGCTGTGTTCATTTATAAAACTGGCTGGGGGATCCAAGCCCACATTCAGCCCCTGGGACTCCCTAGAATTGCATCAGCATTGAGGCCTTGACCTTTTTCTTTATTTCTAATTGTGCCATGAGCCATGCGTGCCAGGGAGAGGGCAGCTACTGGCTGACTTGCTGTTAGCAAGACTTGCATTGCTCCTTGTACAAGTGGACGGAGGGTAGGGCTCACAGGCTGCCTCAGAGAAGGCAGAGGGGCGCCCCAAAGGAGCAGCCCCCCTTGTCTCAGCTGCTGGTGCGGAGGGAAGGAAGGCTCAGGATAGAAAAGACGGTCAGGAGCACGTGGGCCCCCCTTCTCTGCTGGAACCAGGTTCCCGGCCCCCGACGTCTTCCCCCCTGGTCAGAGGCCACTGGGGTCCGAGTAAGTCCCCTGAGGTTGGCTGTGAGATAAAATGTAGAAAGTCTAACTTTTCCTCTTGTGGTCTCCCATGTCCCCGCCCTGTTGCCCCCACCCGCCCTGTCCTTCCACTTCCTGTTTCTAATGGTCAGTTTTGTCCCCGTTTTTGTAGATTATGATTTTGGAGATGTGTTTCCAGCAGTGCCGTCTGTACCCAGCACAGACTGGGAAGGTGGGCAGAGTCCGCTCTTACCCTCGTTTCCATGCCAAGCTTGCTGCATGACTCAAAATCAGCTCGATACTTACAATAATCATGTCAGTGATCGTACTAAAGCCCAGCCTGGTGTCCTGATAGATGGAATTCTGCAGGAGGAGAGCTCCACCTCTAGCCCCAGGCCAATGCCTCTTCCCAAGGCAGGACTCCTGCCTGCGGGCTGGGCCGTGGCCTTGTGGAGTCACGTGACTGCTTCAGGGACACACAGATGGTGCCACTCCATGCACCGGATGTGCCTGGGGAACTGCTGGCCTTGGGCACGCACTGGGGCCTGACCCCGCGAGTGCAGATTCGTTCTAGAGAGAGATGCCGTGGAGCGTGTGGGTTGTAAATTCCTGTAGGTCAGACGCATTCCTGTGTCAGAAGCATCAAGAAGCAAAGGCAGAGGCTTGATTCCTTCAGTCCGTTCTTAATGGCTCCCTCTCGGACATTTCTGAAGGAGATTGAGGGAAATTGCCCACATACCATACAGATGAACCTTCCGCTGGAGAGATTCTCTGAAATTTCAAGGCAGATTAAAATACACTCACTCAGCCCACCCTCCCACCGTGTCCACTAGGTGGCAGTAATCCTCAGGCGTTTTCCGGCTGGGCGGGGAGGGGGCCCCACTTCTGGGCTTGTGAGAATTCGTGAAGCTATTCTTTACGTTCAGTTCCGTGATTGCTCAGAGCACAGGGCATGTTCCTGACGTTAACTCATCCTCTTTAAATCTGAGGCCATAACCAGGCCCCGTGTTAGAGACCCCTTGCCCTGTGGGTCACTTCCATCCAGGGTGGGGTGGGGGCAGCCTCTGAAGGGGAGGGACAGGCGCCCTCCCACTGCTCCGGAGCTGGCCCCTTGTTATGAGAGCCGTGATCCCTGAGTAATGGATGACAGATGACCTTTGCCCCAGTCACGTGCGGATGAAACCGCTGAAGTCCGAGGGAAATAAGATGGCACTGGGAACAGGAAATCCCGCCACCTGGCCAGGAGCGTAGCCTCAGAGTCCCACCTCGCAGCTAAGAGTAGTGTGAAGTCCAGAATTCCATCCTGACAGCACCTGTCCTCTCAGCCTCTCTCCCCGCAGCAGGCGCGCTGGGCATCGACATTTCCCCTCTGGTTCTAACCGCTAACCCTCCTGACCCGCTACTTGTTGCCTGTTGCAATGCTTGACGAGCAGGGCCCTGCAGAGCGCCCTGTGGGCCCCGGGGTGGGGACTGGGCGGCTGTCCCATGGTCCTTGGCTCATTTACAGGATTGGAGGTACCCCAGCCTTGACACCCACCACGTCCGGTGGTCTGCTCACTCACCTCTCGGGCTCCTCCCAGGAGCAGCTGCAGGTCCCCAGGCCTGGGCTTTGCAGGAACCTTCTCTGAGACCGAAGGGCAAGGTTTTCTGCGTTGAGAACTAGGGCGCTGTGGTCCCAGGACGTCAGGAGAAACTCTCATCTATTGCTGGTGGTTTTGGGGTTTTTAATATATTTTTACTGATTTCATGGATGGGGAGAGAAACATCAATGGTGAAAGAGAATCACTGATCAGCTTTCTCCTGCACACCCCCTACTGGGGATCAAGCCACAACCCAGGCATGTGCCCTGACCGTGAATCCAACCGTGACCTCCTGGTTCATGGGTCAATGCTCAACCATTGAGCCACACCTGCCAGGCTATTGCTGGTGTTTTTTTCTGGCAGGGCTGGCAATTGCTTTTAGCTGCCTCCTTTGCCCTTATATTAAAAGACAATGTACTTTTTGAAAAATACGGATGGCGTGCTATGTCAGCAGGCAGCTGCCAGCGGTCCCGAGAACCACTAGGAAGCTGACGGCCGCCAGGCCCTTCGGGTGAGGCTGAGGGTGGGCAGCATGCTTGCCCGTCTCCGGGGCAGATAATGGCCAGTAAGAGGTGTACAAGTTGTACAAGGTGGCTAATGGAGCGTGAACGGCCTGTGTCCCTGCCATTAACCTTCACCCAGGCTGTTCCCCCAGCCAGGCCTCGGCCTCTGCTTGGGCAGCTCCCATCTGCCACCAGATAAATGTCCCGTGTGCTTTTCCTCTCTGTCCTGTTCTGGTGACCCGGATGGATTGGGGCGGGGGGGAGGGGGGGTAGACCAGGTCCACTCTGGAGGGGCAGCAGCGTCCCCACCCGTCTTCTCCCCGGGGTGGAGGTGGGTGACAGTGGACCCGTATGCAAGCTGAGGCTGGAATGAAAGGGAGTTCTCAGCACCCCCCTTACAGGGGCCCCCGGTCCTGCCCCTGGAGCATGTGGGTCGTCAGGGAGAGAGGCAGCCACTGAAGGGCCCACGAGGCATCTGTGGGGGCAGCCACGCAGCCCATGTTTCTTGTCCCCTTCACATCTCCTCCCTCCTGTGCTCTGGCTCCTTCTCTCTGCCCTTCCCCCTGCTCCTCACCCCTCAGCCTTTGGCCTTCACTCTTCACTCTGCACCCTCATGGTCTCTGATCTCTGTCCTCTCTTTTGTTCCTTCTTATCTGCCTCTGTGGGGACCCTCAGAGGACTTGGGGTATCTCAGTCCTCCCAGTGCCTTGTGGCGCTGAAGAGGCTGCAGGCACCCCTCTAGCCTCCGCTGAGGGAGGGTTAGACTGAGAGGCGTGCGGCCCGCTCCTCTGTGGGCACCGAGGTCACTACCCGGGGGCTTCAGCTTGGAGCTCTTACCTCCAATTTGGCCACGTTGCCGTGGCTCTCAAGGGCTCCTGCTTCTGGTGATGGTGGTGGTGGTGATGGTGGTCCCTCTAAGTTGCCCTGAAAGCACAGATCCCGTGTCCTGTTGGGTCTGGGTTTCTACGCTTGAAATGGGGCCACCCCATCAGATTTCCCTGGGAGGAACTCGCCCGCCCTCCGCATGAGGAAAGGCTGCTTTGGGGGCCCCAGAGGGTGTCTGACGGGCGGTGTCCTGCTTGCTGCTCTTCCTCCTCGCAGATGGGGACCTCACAGACACCGTCAGTGGGCCCCGCTCCACTGCCTCCGACCTGACCAGCAGCAAGGCTTCCACCAAGAGTCCCACCCAGCGCCACAACCCCTTCAATGAGGAGCAGGCAGAGGCCATCTCCTCCTCCGACACCACCCCTGTGCACACCGCCTCTCAGGGGAGGGAGCCGCACCCCTCGGAGCTGCTGGACGCCGGCACGGAGCTCGAGGTCATCAGGTCAGCGGGGAGGGGGTGAGCATCACTCTTCAGTCCAGGCAGGCAGCTGGGTGTCTTCCTGGAGGCGAAGTACCCCCTCTTCCCTTGCTGGTGCCTTGAGCAAGAGGAATAGCAGGCCCGGAAGACAGAGGCACTGGCTGGTCCGAGTCCAGAGCAGCCTGAGCCGCTCAGACCCAGGGTCCCTTAGCCAGACCCACGCAGCCAACATGGGACCGAAAAGTGGGTGCCAGGAGTTTGAACCCAAAGACTTTGAGTCCATTTCTGGTTGAATTGTCCGTGATGGGAAGTGAGGCCAGCGCAGGGGCCATGGCCCATGTCCTAAGGGAAGGGCTGAGTAGAGGGACTGTTGGCCTGACCAACCATGGCCTGTTGTTCCCTAGAACGCAGCTAGCTGCACTGCAGGACCTGCTCAGGGGCCTCTGGCTGCTGCCATCTGTGCCTCCTCGGGCTGGTCCCTGCCTCTGCCAGCCATGGGGGAGACCTCAGGGGCCCAGCCGCTGCTGCCCCCAGCCAGGACCCTGCACCCAGCACTGCCCGGGACCACTGAAGCTCTGGCCATGCCCTCAGAGGTCACACACCCAGGATCACCTCTTTTGGCCCCACCCATCCATGTCCCTGCGTGCCTGGTGCTCAGAGGCTAATTTCTCCCCTCGCCTCTCTCCCAGGGTCACTAAGAAAAAGAAAACTGGCAAGAAGAAGAAGACCAGATCAGATGAGGAAGCCAGTCCCCTTCGCCCAGCCTCCGCCCAGCACACGGGTGCCAGGAGGGGGGATGGCGACAGCCGGGTCAGCAGCCCAGGCCTTGGGCGGGGCTCACCAGACACCACCTTGGCTTCCCCCCAGGAGAAGGGAGAGGGGCCCAGCAGCGCTGCTGAGAGCAGCGAGCGCTCAGAGCCCAGCCAGATGGGCCTGCTCATCCCTGAAATGAAGGACACCTCTATGGAGCGCGTGGGGCAGCCCCTGAGTAAAGTCATCGACCAGCTCAACGGGCAGCTGGACCCGCGCACCTGGTGCTCCCACGTCGAGCCCCCAGACCAGCCCTTTCGGACCGGCTCTCCGGGGGACACCCCGGAGAGACCGCCGTTTTGTGACTTTAGTGAGGGGCTTCCAGCCCCAATGGACTTCTACCGCTTTACCGTCGAGAGTCCAAGCACTGTTGCATCAGGTGGCGGCCACCATGACCCTGCAGGGCCTAGCCAACCGCTGCATGTTCCTGGTGGCCCTGCGGCTGCTGGCCAAGAAGAAGAGGGAGGAGGAGGAGGAGAGGGAGAGGCGCCTCCGCCTCTAGGGGCCACCCTGGGGGAGGCTCAGGAGCCAGAGGCCCAGGCACCGGAGACCCAGGTGCCCCCTGTCAAGGAGGGGCCTGGGCCTGAGCCAGAGTCTGGGACCCAGGAGGCTCTTTGTCAGCTCAAGCGAGACCAGCCCAGCCCATGTCTGAGCAGCGCCGAGGACTCTGGGGTGGAGGAGGGGCAGGGGAGCCCTTCTGAGATGTCCCACTCGGCTGAGTTCAGGTGAGCAAGGCTGTGTGTGCTGGTGAGAGACACTCCCAGTCCTTGAAGCAGGGGCCCTGGGGTCTGTCCTTCCAATAAACTAATAAGCATAACTCCCAGGAGACCCAACCTGGGCTGGGAGGTAGGAGGGGTATGGTCCTCCCCTCCTTCATTTGGCTCCTGGTTGGGGACAGAGCCACGACAGCTGCACCGCCTCTGGGGGCACCGCCTCTGGGGGCACCACCTCTGGGTGCCTCTACGACCTCTGATACCTACACCACCTCTGGGTGCCTATATGCCCTCTGGGTGCCTATAAGCCCTTTTGGTACCTACACCACCTGTGGGTGCCTCTACGCCCTGTTGGTACCTGCACCGCCTCTGGGTGCCTATGTGCCCTCTGGGTGCCTGTGCCAACTCTGTACATGTGTCTCCTCTCTGTGCCTGTTTCACCGCTCTTGCCCCTGCCCCAGCCTGACACCGCGCCCGCCCCACACTTGTTCCTCTCACAGAGTAGACAACAATCACTTACTCCTGCTGATGATCCATGTGTTTCGAGAAAACGAAGAGCAGCTCTTCAAAGTAAGTCCCAGCACAGCCCGGGCAGGGCGAGGTGGGCCACCGAGCAGTCAGAAGGGGAGGCGCGCTGCCCGGGGCTGGCAGGCAGGACCCACCGTGCCTGACCGGTTTCTGCTTCACCCGCAGATGATCCGGATGAGCACGGGGCACATGGAGGGCACCCTGCAGCTGCTGTACGTGCTGCTCACAGACTGCTATGTCTACCTGCTCCGGAAAGGTGCCTGCCGCCCCCTTCCCCAAGCCCCCCACACCCCGGGTGTCCCTCAGCTGCCTGGCGTGTGGCGATGAAAATACACACCACAGGAGGTGTTGCCAGCAGGCCCAGCAGCCCCAAGACATGAGCCCGGGCCTCCTCGCCATCCACACCCATGTCATCATTTCAGATCCCGGGGCCAGGCGGGACTCCTGGAGAGAGGGGCCAGGTCTTAGAAGACGGGCAGGGGCGGGAAGAGAGGCTGCTGTGGGTAATGAGCATTGGCATTTCCTCTCTCAGGGGCCACAGAGAAGCCATACCTGGTGGAAGAGGCTGTTTCGTACAACGAGCTTGACTACGTGTCGGTGAGTCCAGGCTCTGCAGCTGCTGTTTGCTGTAGGCCCAGCCAGACACAGAGCAGAGCACGCCCCTGCCTCAGCCCCGGGGTTGGGCGCCAGCTCCTCTCTCCGAGCAGCTTCTGTCCATGGTGCTGGGGGTAGGAGCCGAGCTTGAGGGTGCCTCTCCGTCCGTCCCTCCCTAACTCGGGCCAGGGTCCCAGGCCTCCGGAGCTTTACCTTGTGGCGACCCCAGGGTGCGCGTCCTCCCCGCCCCCCAGCCTGGCCCTCAGTCTGGCTGTGGCTGCTCTTCTGGCAGCGGCCAGGCCCGTGTGCATGGGAGTGTGGTCTCTGGCAGGTGGGCCTGGACCAGCAGGCGGTGAGGCTGGTGTGCACCAACCGCAGGAAGCAGTTTCTGCTGGACACGGCCGACGCGGCTCTGGCTGAGTGAGTGACACCCGCCCTCCGCGGAGCTGGAGGATCGGCCTCGGCCACTGCGGTGGCCCTGCCCTGGACTCCCGCCCTCGGGCAGAGGGTGGGAAGTGGCATAGGAAGAAGTGGGGACAGAGGTATATTCCCTCTGGACCCTGCAGTCTGGTCAGAGAGGCAAGGAAATAGACAGACATGCCGACTGGTTGATTCGTGGTCAACCCAAGCGACTGCAGAGAGGAAGGGGTGGCATGAGTTTCAGCAGGAAGAAAGCATAGCCTGGCTGCTGGGCCGTGGCGCCCCAGGCCTCCACACGGAGCCTGCATGTAGCCAGATGGCACTGGTTTTCCAGTCCTGCTGCAGCCCCTGCCAGTCTCCCCTCGCTGTCAGAACCCAAGGCCCCTTGGCCATTGGGAATGGGTAGGGCCTTTTCTAAGTCGCCACTGGGTGACCGTGGCCTGCAGTCCCATCACTGCCCTGCCCGCTGCCCTGAGCTCTGGTTCCAGCCAGGTCCCTCCCCCAAGTGTCTGTGAGCCCGGCCGGGTGGGGCGGCACGTGCCTCTGACGGCAAACCCCACTCCCCATGCAGGTTCTTCTTGGCTTCTTTGAAGTCGGCCATGATCAAAGGCTGTCGGGAACCCCCGTACCCCAGCATCCTGACCGATGCCACCATGGAGAAGCTGGCACTGGCCAAGTTCGTGGCCCAGGAATCTAAGTGTGAGGTAAGAAGCTGGGGAGGCGGGGGCAGGGGCCGAGGGCCTGGGCCTGGGGCGTGTCCTTGCTCTCAGTGGCCCCCCTGGTGCTGGCCGGGACCTCACCGCTGTCTACTGCCCCTCCCACCCCCGCCCCAGGCAGCTGCTGTGACTGTGCGCTTCTACGGGCTGGTGCACTGGGAGGACCCCACTGACGAGTCCCTGGGCCCCGTCCCCTGCCACTGCTCACCCCCCGAGGGCGCCATCACCAAGGAGGGCATGCTGCATTACAAGGCGGGCACCTCCTACCTGGGCAAGGAGCTCTGGAAGACCTGCTTCGTGGTGCTCAGGTGGGAGCCTTCACAGCAAGTCACTGAAGGGAACCGAGGGGGAAACTCCCTCCCCACAGGGCTTAGGAGGAGACATACCTAGGATATTAGAGCTTCTCTGTAAAGCCAGCCTCCTGGGGGCCACCCCGGGCTCCCACCCCGGCCACCCCAAAGCAGCCCGCCTGGAAGGCTGCAGGCAAAGACCTGGGCAGGGCTGCCCCGAGCTCCCAGGTTGCTGCCCCTCTGCAGTCCTTTACCCTCCCTGCCACAGAAGACAGCCCCCTGCTCCTTGGCCTCGGGTTCAAGGCTCCAGCCTGTGGGAGTCCCCGGGATCTGGGCTCCACCTGGTCCCGAGCTGGGACAGGCCTCAGCCCTGCCACGTGTGTCCCTGCAGCAACGGGATCCTCTACCAGTACCCCGACCGCACCGACGTCATCCCCCTGCTCTCGGTGAACATGGGGTGAGTGTCCTGGTGACAGGGCTGGGGAGGTGGGGTCTGGCATCGCGGCCTGAAGGTCAAGGCTCTGGCTGAGCTTGGGGCCCGCACTCCTATTCTCCCTGAGACAGCTCCTGGCTCTCCCTCTTGTCAGCTTCGCCTGCCCCTCACCGCACTGCATCCAGCGCCCTGACCCTGTGCCCTGGGTCCTGCTGAGCTCTGAGGACTGCTGGACCCAGGGAGGGGGAAGGGAAAGCTCCTCTCAGGGAAGCAAGAGCTTCTTGCCAGGAAAGGGTCTGATAGGGGAGGCAGTCGCCTGGCCTGATAGGGGGCAGTCCCTAGGCTCACAGGGGGACAGTCCCTTCCCTGGGAAGCGCCTGCCCTGCTGTGGAAGATGGACGCACACATACTTGGAGGAAGCGTCAGCCCTGACGGAACATGAGGATGTGCCCTGATTCTGAGAGGCCAGAGCTAAGCTGATTCTCACCCCTCACCTGGCCATGTTTAGGTTCTAGAATCTAGAAGGGTCTTTGATTATGGACATAAACGGCGTTACACAGGATGGAGTGGGGCTGCCCAGCAGCTCTCAGCCTCTCCTGAGAGCCAGAGGGGTCTGGACTTCTTCCGGTGTCCTCCGCCCTGGGACTGGGCCGGCCCTGTACCCACAGGCCTTGAGCCACACCCAGGGGCTCCCACCCCGAGCCACCCCTGCCTCCTCGCTCCCGTTTCACCCCTCCTCCTCTGGCCCAGGGGGGAGCAGTGCGGTGGCTGTCGGAGGTCCAACACCACGGATCGGCCCCACGCCTTCCAGGTCATCCTTGCTGACCGGCCCTGCCTGGAGCTGAGCGCTGAGAGCGAGGCTGAGATGGCCGACTGGATGCAACACCTCTGCCAGGCCGTGTCCAAAGGGGTGAGCTGCTCCTGCCTCCACCGTTCACCTGGCCTCCCGACCCCGCTCCGTGTCCCTTCCCTAAACCCACACCAGTCATGGAGCAACCTGCGGGGACCAAGACAGGTTCCTCCAGGGACAGCCCAGGAGCAGGCCCTGGAACTCTCATGGTCACCCCACCCCCACCTATAGCCCTGAGTGGGCGGAGCCTGCCTGACTTCCGGAGGCAGGGCTAAGGGCTGGCTGGGCCCCTGGATGGAGAGACCGGCTGCAGGAGCTCCAGCTTGCTTCCTGCCCCTCTGCCAATGCCCTCAGGTCATCCCCCAGGGGGTGCCTCCCAGCCCCTGCATCCCCTGCTGCCTGGTGATCACCGATGACCGCCTTTTCACCTGCCACGAGGATTGCCAGACCAGCTTCTTCCGCTCCCTGGGCACAGCCGCGCTGGCCGACATCAGCGCTGTCTCCACGGAACCGGGCAGGGAGTACTGTGTCTTGGTGAGTCCGGTGGGGGATGCTGGAGGCAGGCCCTGCCGCAGGAGCCCTGTGTCGGCTGACCGGCCCCGCTCTCCCCAGGAGTTCTCCCGGGACGGCCAGCAGCCCCTCCCGCCCTGGGTCGTCTACCTGAGCTGCACATCTGAGCTGGACCGGTTCCTGTCTGCACTGAACTCTGGGTGGAGAACCATCTACCAGGTACCCAGCTGGCCGGGGCCCTGCGGCGCGAGCCGTTTCCTACAGAGAGGAGCCTTGCCTGGCACAGACCAAGGCAGGGGTTGGGGGCCTGGGGGCAGCACCGGACCTGTAGCTCTGGGACAGACATGAACATTAGGACCAAAGGGCAACCCTGACTCCCAAGGAGTCTGAGACTTGGGGCCACCCAGGGCCTTGTTGGTTCCAATAGAATAGCGCGAATTGAGTGCTGAAGTAGGGCTGAGGCCGAGCTGTTCCAGGTAAGCAGGACACTCAGGTGTGCAGCCAGCTAGAGCGCAGGGCCTGCCAGGCGGGCGCCCACCAAGAGCCAGGCCTGCCCCGGAAGGAGGCTCGGGGCCATCACCTGGTCTCAGCTTCAGCCCCACCTTGAAGGGCAGAATTCAGGGGACGGACGAGGCCGCCCTGGTGCGGGGGCTCCGTGCCCTCACGTTCCCTGCCGCCCGACACAGGTGGACCTCCCCCACAAGGCCATCCAGGAGGCCTCCCACAAGAAGTTCGAGGACGCCCTGAGCCTCATCCACAGCGCGTGGCAGCGCAGCGACAGCCTCTGCCGCGGCAGAGCCTCCCGGGACCCCTGGTGCTGAGGCGGAGCTGGCCGGTGTCCTGGTGGGCAGGACGGGGAGGCGCGCGGGGCACACACGGTCACCACGGCGGCGGCGCGCTGCGTGGGGGCCGGGCCTCCCCCGTTCCACAGCCCACTTCCACCCCGGGCGGCAGAACCAGCGGGCGGGGCTGAGATAGGGTCTGTCCCTCCCTGTGACCCAGAGCGGGTGCGGAACACCCTGGGCACCCTGCCCAGCAGGTGGGCACTGGGAATGCCAGGGGCAGAGGTCTGAGCCCTATGGGCTCTGTAGTTGCACAGCCTCCTCCCAGGGCCACGCCTCAGCCACGCCATCTCTTTAGGATGGCGATGGGAATAATACCGACCCTGAGGGAGCAGAAGGATGGGGGGGGGGGTCCCCTCTTCCTCTCCATCCCGGGCAGATGCTCAGGCCGCCCTGGGGCCCGGAGTGTCTGGCCATCCTGTTCATTTTTGAACATATACCCGGCCGTGCAGGGAAGCGCAGCACTGAGGTCTTCGTGCATGTCATCTCCTCACTAACCCGTCCCACGCGCACTGCTGCCTGCCTTCCAGGGCGGGGCCGGGGAGGACTGGCCTCCCTGGCTGCCAGGAGGCCCTGCATGTCCGTGGGCCCCTGCTCTTGCCTCTCCCTGAACCTGGCAGTGCCGTGGACCCAGGAATCAGGCTGTGTCCTTGCACCGGGAGCAGAGGGGAGGGAGGCGGGCATGGAGCGGGGCAGAGCCCACCAGCCTGGGGTCCACGTTGGAGCCTCCTGACTGTCCTGCTTGGCTAGAGCCAGGCCCTTCCCAAGAGCTTGTCAAGGGCCCTCTCGGGGAAGGAGTCGGGTCTGGGTTTTGTTTTTTAAAATAAAATAGATGTTATATTGCCAAGACGTGTCACTGGCCCTTTTTGACCAGGATGGGGTGGGGGACCTCCAATCCCTCTCCTCAGGCCCCTCGACCCTCGTTCTTCATTCCACAATGTTCCATCAGCCGCCGGTGCCAACACTGGAACCAGAGTCCCTGCGCCCTGGGGCACTCGAGTCTGGAGGAGCCCAGGCCTGGGAGTTCCACGGCCTGACCTTTGCCCTCCCTCCCGTTTCCTGCAGGGGCCGGGGTGGGGTGGCCCCAGTCCTAGGCAGGTCTCCACTACCGGAAAGACACTCCTGCCTCCTGGCCTCCCAGCCGTGGGGGTAGATGCCAGCCACTCGGGTAAACCCGGGAGAGTTCCCGCTGTTCCCGAGGCCTCTTGTCGAGCTGCTGCCCCAGGGGCTGGCTGGAGGATGCCAAGCCTACCAGGCTGGGGAGCCGTTCGCCACTGCCACCTCCAGGGCCTCACACACCGGAGGAAAGGGGTAGACTCCGGAGGGGGTGGGTGTGGCCGCCCCCGAGGCAGGGTTCCAGGCAGGGCGGCTCTGCCTCTGGTTTTGACACTGACACCAGCGCCTAGGGTGATACAGGGTGGCCCTGGCAGGAGAGAACTGCTCTGAGGGCAGAGGTCAAGGTGAGCAGCCTGGCGCCTGGCAGCAGTGTGGGGGGGCGGGGGGGGGGGCGGGTTCCTTCTCACCAGGCACAAAGGGCCATTTCCTGCAGGGGCTCCTCCAGAAGCCACAACCCAGGAGGGGCTCCCACTGGGAGGAGGGTAGGGCTGAGGGACAAGTCCCTACCAGGTAAGCGGCCGAAGCCACTGGTCACTCCTGGAGGTCTCCTACCCAGCAGGGGGGATGTGGACCACCTTTTATTAGATGCTTTTCACACATCGCTGACCCTCCAGAGAAGCTCTGCCGTGGGTATGGACGCCCCCCTTTTACAAACGGAGAGCTGAAGCTCAGGGGAAGTGACCATTCTAGCACAGCTGGGAGTCCAGGTCAGTCCCTCCTCTGCCCTCCCTGAAGGTGGGACCGCAGACTGTGGGAGCCAGACTGGAAGGCCGGGGAGGGGCCCTCACACGGGGCAGGGGTAGGAGTGGGGCTGTGACTGAGTTGCCCGGCAGACTGTGGCCAGGAGCCCCCGGGGCAGTTCCCCATGCCCAGGGCTCTGAGCTGCAGCCGGACTGGCTAAGCCTAAGGTGGGGCAGAAGCACCAGCCCTTTGCCCCAGGGACCACAGGGAGGGCTGGAGGACAAGGGGAGGAGAAGGAGGCGCAGCTGATTGGCACCTTCTCCCCGCCCCCAATCTCTTGCTGGTCCAGGTGACCTTTGCCCCAGATCCCAGTGTCTAGGTCCGCCCAGCCGGGAGGTGTGGAGAACAAAGGCAGCTGGGATTGGTCAGAACCCAGCAGGGGTGTGTCCCAGGCACCCACAGCCCAGGCGTGAGCGCCGGGCAGGTGGACTCCCGGGATAGATCAGCAACGGCCTGGCAGCTGCAGGCCTGTCCCACCGGACCCTGCCCTCCAGACATGGCCCCCGGGCCCCTCGATCCCTAGCCCTGTGACCCTCCAGGGGTACAGGCAACCTGAGCGCCACCACCCCAGGGTCTGTGCCATGCCCCTGACCCGGGCACAGCCGGCTGCTGCCACAGAGGACACGGGAGCGGTGGCCCCGGCTGTGGACCTGGTGCTGGGTGCCTCGGCCTGTTGCCTGGCCTGCGTCTTCACCAACCCCCTGGAGGTGGTGAAGACTCGGCTGCAGCTGCAGGGAGAGCTGCAGGCCCCGGGCACCTACCCTCAGCACTACCGGGGCTTTGTGGCCTCCATAGCCGCCGTGGCCAGAGCAGATGGGCTGAGTGGCCTGCAGAAGGGGCTGGCCGCCAGCCTGCTCTACCAGGGCCTCATGAACAGCGTCCGCTTCTATTGCTACAGCCTGGCCTGCCAGGCCGGCCTCACCCAGCAGCCAGGTGGCACCGTGGTCGCAGGTGCGGTGGCTGGGGCACTGGGAGCCTTCGTGGGGAGCCCTGCTTACCTGGTGAGTGCCTTGTCTCCATCCTCCACCATCCCGTGACCCAACTCCCGCCAGGGCTCCGAAGCTTCCAGGGCTGGCCTCTGTGGCCAGGGCGGGGGGAGGGGCGGGGGGGGGCAGGGGAGGGTAGACAGTGAAGGGGGTGGGGGCAGGCTAGGTGGGGCTGCCCCCTGGAACATCCCTTCCCAGGACTGAAATCTGCCCCAGGACCTTGCCCCATCCTCTGTCCCCTGGAGCCCCCATCCTGCAGGTCCTGAGCCAGGGCCGGGCAGAGGGTAGCAGGTGTGCTGGAGGTGTGCACTTGTGTGGCTTGTACAAGTCAAGAATAAAGCTTCCAGCCCAGCCAGTGTGGCTTAGTGGTTGAGCATCCATCCATGAACCAAGAGGTCCTTGGTTCAATTCCCAGTCAGGGCACATGCCCAGGTTGCAGGTCGATCCCCATTGGGGGACATGCGGGAGGCAGCCTTTCGATGTTTCTCTCTCAACTCTCTATCCTTCTCCCTCCCTCTCTCTCTCTTAAAAAAAGTCAATAAAAACATATTAAGAAATAAAAAAGAATAAAGCTCCTCTGCCTGTCTGGTGTAGCTCAGTGGTTGAGCATCAACCAGGAACTAAGAGGTCACCTGTTCTATTCCTGGACAGGGCACAGGCTCAGGTTGTGGGCTCCATCCCCAGTCAGGGGCGGAAAGGGAGCAGCTGATCAGTGATGTTTCTCTCTCATCCATGTTTCTATCTCTATCCCTCTCCCTTTCTCTCTCTCTAAAAATCAATAAAAAACAGTTAAAATAAATAAAAAATGAATAAGTACTCTCTCTATAAAAAAGAATGACGCTTCCTGGAGCCAAGCCGGCACTAGGCTGGGTGCGGTACCACTGTCCTCTCCCCGGCCCTCAGAACAGCTTTTCGAAGGTAAGCAGACACAGGAGGTGTGTGCAGACCGGCCAACTCTGGAGACTCGCCCCAGCCCTGTTTCACACGCCCCCTAAGCTGCAGGTGTGGGCTCCTGGAGGTCCAGGTGCCCGGTGGGACTGCTCCCTGGAACATCGCTGCCTGGGTCTGCACTCTGCCCTGGTCAACAAGGAAAGGGTGCCCTCCACCCACACAGCTCAGCCAGGCTCCCCAGGCTGGGCCCTAAGCCCTCCATCACCTCTGCTCTCACAGGTCAAAACGCAGCTGCAGGCCCAGACGGTGGCCGAGATGGCTGTGGGGCACCAGCACCACCACCAGGTGGGACTGTCACTCCCTAGAGTTCCCTGGGCTGGGTGGGCTCCTGGGCGGGCAAGGGGCTGCCCAGTGACCCTGTGCCCTCTCCCCACAGAGCGTCCTGGGCGCCATGGAGACCATCTGGCGGCAGCAGGGCCTGGCAGGTCTGTGGCGGGGTGTGGGCGGGGCTGTGCCCCGAGTCATGGTTGGCTCAGCTGCCCAGCTGGCCACCTTCGCCTCTACCAAGGCCTGGGTGCAGGAGCGACAGGTGAGGGGCCAGGGACACACACACACAGGAGTGAGGAGGGCCACCTGCCTCCTTTCTCCCTCTCTGCCTGGGCCCGGGTCACACCTCAGCATCTCCAGCTGGACTCTCACACAGGGAACCCCAGTGGGTGGTGACAGACAAGGCCCCATAGGACCCCTGGGCCCAGCAGGAATGGGGGGCCAGCAGTGAACCCTGAAGGTGTGAAGGACCTTGTGGGGAGATGTGGGTGGGGGGTGGCTGGAGGGGCCCTGTCTTCTCCCTTCTCCCAGGTGGAGGGAGGCTGGTGGGAGCAGCGGCAGGTGTCAGCAGCCTGTGCCATCCCCACAGTGGCTCCCGGAGGACAGCTGGCTGGTGGCCCTGGCCGGAGGCATGATCAGCAGTGTGGCGGTGGTGGCGGTCATGACCCCCTTCGACGTGGTCAGCACTCGGCTGTACAATCAGCCCGTGGATGGAGCTGGCAGGGTGAGCAGGGGACCAGGTGGCGAGGATGTGGGAGCTGGAGAGCGCCCGTCCCAACACACACACACACACACACACACAGCCGAGACACACAGGCATGTGACATACATGCAAACGCATTCATTCGGCTTGTGTGCGGAGCACCTATGACCCAGGCACGTGCTAAGCAGTCTCACATCTGGGACTTATTCCATCCTCACACCCACCTTCATTTTCCTGATGAGGAAACTGAGGCTCAGAGATATCACGTGACTTGCCTGAGGTCACCCAGCTGTTATGTGTGGAGAACCCTGCACTGGAATCCAGGCCTGACCCCACGGCCTCACAGACAGGTGCCCGCCATCGTGTACGCTGGTGCAGCTGTGCCCAACACGCAGGTGCCCTCCACAGGCTGAGTTAGGAATGAAACCCACCTGTGTGCCACTAGCCAAACTGAGCCCCTGGCTGGGGCTGGGGCTGCCTGAAGGAAGAGACTCCTTTTAAAATGTTGCCATGTAAAGGTCCTTCATTCTGTAATTTCCCTAGATTGGGGGGGGGGGTGCCTTTTCCGAGGTGCCACAGAAGCCCTAACACACAGACATACTCTGGTGTGCCAGCCAGGGCCCCATGGCCCCTGTAGTTACACCCACCCTGTGTCTGTCCCCAGGGCCGGCTGTACCGGGGCCTGGCTGACTGCCTGGTGAAGATCTGGCGGCAGGAGGGACCCCCGGCGCTCTATAAGGGTCTGGGCCCCTCCTACCTGCGCCTGGGCCCCCACACCATCCTCAGCATGCTCTTCTGGGATGAGCTCCGGAAACTGGCCCGATAGGGCGGGGCCAGGGCATCTAGGGCGTCCCTCACCCCACAGCCTGACACAGCCCATCACCCCGCTCCAGCTGGGAACGGCCATCTCTCACCAGCCACAGGCCCAGGCTCTGCCCCGGGTCTCATCGTTATAATGACTGCCCCGAGCCCAGCCATGAGCTGGGTCGCTTACCTGCATCAGCTGCTTCAACCGGAAACAACAGTGGGAGGTGACAAACCCTCTCACCAAGGAGCCAGCCGAGGCTCAGAAGGGTGAAGAGCTTTGATCAAAGCCACACAGCGTTGAGATGGCAGAGCCAGGACTGGAGCAGCCCTGCCCAGCCCAGAACTGTGCCCTTGGCAAGGACCAGGACGAGGGGCGGAGTGTCCCCAAGGGATCACTGCACACAGGAGACCCTGGGTGCCCCGGAGGCGTGTCCTCTCCCGTGGCGGTCCGCCAGGGCTGCCGGAACAAAGTGCCTCAGACCAGGCGACTATAACCATCGACGGTGATTTCTCCCAGCTCTGGAAGCCAGAAGTTCAAGATCAAGGGGTCAGCAGGGTTGGTTTCTTCTCAGGCCTCGCTCCTTAGCTTGAGATGGCTGACTTCTGTGTGTCCTTCCTTCTGTGCGTGTCTGTGCCCCAATCTCATCTTATAAGGACCAGTCATTTGGGACTAGGGCCACCATGTTAACTTAATCACCTCTGTAAAGACCCTTCTCCAACTACAGCCACCCTCTGAGGTCCTGGGGTTACGACTTCGTTATAATGAATCGGGGTGCGGGGGGGACACAATTCAGCCTGTCACGTCAACGATGGCTCTACTGAGGCCCTCCCGTGCCCAGCACTGCGGGCATTTGCACAGATCCGCATGGCGACCCTGGAAAGGAGCCCTCGGGAAGCCTGTGGTTCAGATGAGGAGACTGAGGCCAGGCTGGGGGAGTGGCTGGCCCAAGTGGAGTAGCAGAGCCAGGCATCCTCCTCCGGCGCTTCCCCCAAGCTGCAGCCACACTCCCCGCGTGGGTGTCCCTCAGGCCGCGCTGACCTCTGTGCCACGGAGGTGGACGCCCAGGCCCCTGAAAGGGGAGGTCTGGCCCGGGCCCAGCAGCCTGAACTGCCTTCCCTGCCAACACCCGAGTCTTGGAAAAGCTGCTCCCGGGGCACGCCTACCAACACTCCAAATCAATAAAGTTTTCTATTTTCTTTACTTCAATGAGTCTCCTCTGCCGGCAGCCTCAGTCTCCCCCACCCGAGCCCCCCACCCCTTTGGCTCTCTACCTTAGTCTCCCCCTCCCCTGAACCCCTTTCCTTGGCTACTTCAGTCTGGGGAAGGAGGGTCCAAAAGCTTTGGGCGGTCCAGCCCCACCCCATCTGGCCCCAGGAAAGCCTGCCACCTAGTGGACACAGAGAGGATAGTCAAGGCGCTGCCAGTGGCTGAGGTGGTGGGGCCCAGAGCTAGATCCCAGCCTCAAGCCTGGGGGCGGATGTACGCCCCCTCCAGACTTCGGGCTGAGAGTAGAGCCTGACCTCGGGAATGTAGGGGAATAGATGCCGCCCTCCAGATCCTGGGCTGAGAGGACAGAGCCCAGACCGAAGGCTGGGACAAAGGATGACAGGACAGAGGCCTGGGCTTCAGGAAGCCACTGTGAGGCAAGCCCTAGGGAGGGTCAGAAAAGTGGGCACCAGGCTTGAGCAGGGACAGAGACCAACCCCTGAGATGCCCCTTCACCTGGTGCTGCCCGGATGGGGAACACCTGGGCCAAAGTTGGTCCCATCGCCCCTTAACCCTCCCGCTCCCCTCCCTGCCCTCCCGCCCTGGGCCTTTGACCCCTCCCACCTCCCTCCCTCGCCCGGCACCTTTGCCCTGTGACGTCAGCTCTCCGGAGCAGTCCAGGCCAAGGCTGGGCTGGATCTGGCTGCCATGTTCTCCCTGCTGTCCCTCCCCTCCTGGCTCCCGGGCCTCTCCTCCCTCGAGTGGGGCTCCGGCCTCCTCCTCGACTCTGTTCTGACAGGTGAGCGCCTCCTCCCGCCCCCTCCAGGGCCTGCTCCGGTGGTGCAGGGTGCACCCCACCCCTAGGTCTCCCAGCCCTAGGCTGCCCCTCCTCTAACCCTACGAGCACGCCCACTCTCCCTCCCTCCCCTCAGGCCTCATCGGGGCCTGCGGAGTCTCCGTCCTGAACAGCCTCCTGAAGGTTTACTTCTTCGTGGGCTGTGCCAAGTGAGTGTCCACCTGCCCGGCCCACTCCCAGCCCCTTTCAGGCCCCTGACCCCCAGCTGTGACTCTGGTCTCTGAGGGAGGACTGGGGGCAAGAGACCACCCGTCCAGTCGAGCCAGGGAGTGTGGCCGGGGACCCGGGAGCCCCTCCAGGGCCCAGGTTGCTGGTTCTGCCACTCTGCCTACACCCCCTCTGCCCCCACAGCAACCCGGAATGGCGGCTGGAAAAGGAGCGGCTGCAGGCCCGGTGGGCCTTGCTGGAGTCCGTGCACCTGCCTGGGCTGGCCCTGATCCTGACCCTCGTGGGGCCCCGGGTGGCCTCCCTGGTGGTGCTGGAGTTCTCCCTCAGGGCTGTCTCCACGCTGCTGTCCCTGGGCAAGGTGAGGCCCGGGAGGTGGTGGGTGCGCACTGCTGTCCCCGCAGGCTAGATCGTTGGAGTGCATCATCCCATGGTCCTCACAAGCACGGGGGAAAGTCTGTGTGAGCCCCGTTCACAGATGGGGAAACTGAGGCTCAGAGAGGGTGACCCACAGGAAGTGGAGTCAGGCTTTAAACCCAGGCCTCCAAGGCTCCGAGCCACCACTGGTGCTTCCGCGAGCACATGGGTGCCAGTAACAACCAGGATGGAAATTAAGCGGGAAGAAATGACCCCATTAGGGCTTGACGGGAGGCAGGATTCCCTCTTGGGGAATGATCCGAGGGGTTCCTTTGGGGCCCAGCCTCCTGTAGACTGAAGCGTTTGTACCCTGCCAGCCCTCAGTGTCCTGGTGGTGAGGGGACCATCATCCCGGCCCCTCTTCTGCCACCTCCCCCCCAGGGCTCCGGGAGCACCGAGAGGCTGCAGCTGTACCTGCTGGGCCAGTACTCGCTGGGCTGTGGGCTGAGCTGCGGCCTGAGCTTCCTGCAGGAGGGTGCCTCTCACCGCACGCTCAACCTGCTGCTGGGCCTCGGGCTGGCTGCGCTGCTGAGCTCGCTGGCCCAGCGCCTCCTCCGCCACATCTGCCGCCTCTATGAGCTGCACAGCAGCCAGCACTACTGTGGGGTCTGCCTGGGTCTGCTGGCCGGGGCGTGTGACCTGCCCCGCCTGCTGGGCCGCGCCCTGGTCGTGGCTTTTGCTGTGGGCGACCTGGCGGCCGTGGCCCTCATCAACCGGGACTTCATGACCACCTCGGAGGCTGTGCGCTTCTGGACGCCGCTCACCATCTGCTACACCCTGCTGGTCATCTACATGCAAGGTGAGGGCCGCAGGGGGGCTGGGCACCCGCTGGGCATTTGCTGTCTGGCGGCCCAGCACTGTTCTAGATCCCGGGAGACTGACAAGCTAGCCCCCACCCCTGCCACCTCAGGGCGCCTAGCCTGTGGCAGAGGCCACGTAGTGGTGGGGCAACTCAGAGAGGGGTGCAGCGTGCCCTGAGGAGATGGTGCTGGAATTGGACCTTGAAGGGTAAGCAGGAGCCCCTGAGAGAGGCGAGGGGGACATGACCTTGTACGCCACGGCTCAGAGGTGAGAGAGCATGGCAGCCTCAAACAACTGGAAGAAGCTGAGTGTAGCTGTCACTCCAAGAGGGGCTGAAGCTGACGCGGTTCACTGGGGCCTGATGGAGAGTCCTCGTGGGCAGGGCTGCGGGGGGCGGGGTGTGTGGTTCTGATCAGATCTGGGCTCTAGGAAGAGGCTCCTGGCTGCAGAGTGGGGATGGGCTGGACAAAGTGAGGGTGGCCGGAAAAGGAAGGGCAGTCAGGCCGAGAGCAGCAGGTGCAAAGGCACTGGGGTGGGAGTGAGCTTGGGGTGCTCGCGGAACAGCAAAGAAACCCGAGTGGCTGTGGGTTTGAGTAAAGGGGAGCGAGTCAGGGATGAGATGAGTTGGGCGTGGGCACCGGACATCCAGCAGGGCCTCACAGACAAGGTGAGGCGTGTGCAGCTCATTCCGAATGCGGCGGGAAGTGCTGGCGGGTGACACGCTCAGGAATGACGTCCTCTCACTGGTGCGTTTGGAAGGTCATGAGCTGTTGAGTAGACACTTGAATTGTAGGGTCAAGAACAGAAGCCAGGAGTCCAGTAAGGAGGCTGCTTGGAGAGATGAAGGTGGCCGGGACCGGGGTGGGAAGTGCAGTGGCGAGGCGACTTGGGTGGGGATCTGCTTGGCAGAGTGGACAGGCTTACTGAGGGGTGAGACGTAGACGTGCAGGAGAGGAGTCGGGCTGCAGGCTGGCGTGCTCTGTCCGGAGCGCAGGAGGGGCACACCAGCAGGAGGCGCAGGTGAGCACTGAGGCCTGGGAGGCAGAGGACCTGGTGCCTTGTGGGGCTCCAAGAGTGGGGGTGGGGCCAGAAGCAAGGGAGAGGGGCTGCAGGGGGAGGGAGGGGAAGGCTCTCACTGGGAGGGGGTGGCGGAGCAGGGAGGCCCAGGCCTGATCCAGCTGGACCTCAGTTTGGGGTGCCGGTTGCGGCAGGTGGGCGGTGACAGGCGGTGTGTCCCACAGAGGAGCAGCGGCAGCACCCTGGCCTGCAGAGCCAGGTCCAGACGGTGCTGGTGCGCATGGGTGGCCTCTTCGTGCTGCTGCTGACCGTGGGCCGCTGGCTGGACCTTCTGGGCGTCCTCATCTCCCTGCTGGGCGAGCTCTGGTGCCTGGTGGGCGTCCGCACCCTGCTTGACCTCTGCCAGAAACAGGTGGGCACCCAACCCCGCGCGTCCCCTACACACTGACGCCTGCTCCTGACAGCCGGGGAGCCTCCACGGGCCCGAGTGTAAGAAGAGCTGGGCCCTCGCTGGTTTGCTCAGTGCTTAGCGTGTCGGCCCGTGGACTGAAGGGTCTTGGGTTCGATTCCAGTCAGGGGCACAAACCTCGGTTGCAGGCTTGATCCCCTGTCCCGGTCGAGGCACGTGCGGGAGGCAACCAATCAATGTGTCTCTCTCACATGGCTGTTTCTCTCTCTGTCTGTCTCCCCCCCACTCCCTTCTACTCTCTCTAAAAATCAATGGAAAAAATATCCTTGGGTGAGCTGGGGAAACCTCTCTTGGGGTGGGGGCAGGAGCTCGGGTCCCCTCTCTCACCTGGTGTTAACCTTTGACCTGTGCCCCAGAGGCCCTGAATAGGAGGAAGGCCTTGAATAAATGGAGGCCTGAAGCCCCCCCAGGGGACGGGCATTGGTGGGGTACCCTCCATCCTTTCCTCCCCGCCTTCCCTCAGGATTTTCCACCCCAGAGGCCTACTGTGTCAGCTCCAAGCCAGCCCCAGCGCTCGGCACCTGCCCAGACCCAGGGGACGGCCCCTTCCTGACCTGCCCCCCAGAACGGACTCCCGGACCCACCCAGGCTCACCTGGAGGCCTGACACCAGAACGGTGCCCGGAGGCAGGGGGCAGGTTTGGCCCCACCTGGAACTCGCACTGGAGCCCCTGAGAGGGAGGGGAGGATTTGGGGTTAGGAGGGGGCACCTGGGGCCACTGGGTTCATCCTTTACTGGGGTGGACAGGGGCACACAGTCCTGAGACCTGCCCCAGGGCCTCCCCCTACCGCCTTCTGTCCTCTCCTCAGACAATAAAGGTGTTTTTCTCACCCTGTGGCTAGAATCATGAGCATGCAGAGGGGCAAGGCTTTTCCCACCACACAGCTTCCTGGCCAGGCGGGCTCCTGGGATATGTGTCAGGAGTCGGCTACTGAGGTGGCTGAGGAGGCGGTCGGGTGCGGCGGATGGACACATGCACGAGCACCCACTTGCATCTTGGGGGGACGGTGCTGTCCTGTCCCATCTGAGGCTGAGGCACAGCTGAAGGGAACACAAGGCTGGAAGGGCCTCTCGGTCCCCACCACACCCTGGCCTGTCTAATCCCATGAGGATGCTTCCTGTCTCAGCTCCGTTCAGCCTCATGTCCCTGCTTTTCCAGCGAGTACAGAAGGCTGAATACCGACCCCTCGGCTGGCCTGCTGTGCACCCTTGGGTAGGCTGCTGTCCCCCTCTGAGCCTATCAGAACAGCTACCATGGGTTGTATGCCTTTTTAATCATCTCATTTCATTCTGACATCAGCCCCAAGTTTTTACAGATTCAGAAACTGAGGCTCAGAGAGGTTAAATAACTTTCTCAAGGGCACACAGCTAGTTAGTGGTGAAGTCTGGGTTTGAATCCAGGTGGCCTACCCCCAGAGCTCAAGTGCTTTGCATGCTTCCTGCTACCCTCTTCTTGGTGAAGAATTGGAGCCAGAAAAACTAACAGGTGGGCATGAAAAATATGGCAGGTCCATTCTTGGCAGGTTCTGGAATGTGGCTCTGGCCACCTTTTGCCCGGGGTAGCCTGAGGCTCCATCACAGTCATGTTCTCCTGGCCCAGACTCCCAGCCCCATAGGGCAGCTTGGCTCCCTGAGGACTGAGCTGGGGCTCTTTCCCAGCAGGGGCCCCATGGGGCAAAGGAGACGGCCAGCCAGGGCTTCCAAGGGGTCATGAGGCAGCTCTGGGGATTGAAGGCTGGAGAAGGTTCTTGGAGGGTTCCTGGCTCCGACGGGTCTGGCTTCTCAGCAAAGGCCGCCACGGTCACCCAAAGGCTGCACTGGAGCAGACAGTCCGGCCTAGGATTTTCCACCCTCCACCTTGGGGCACCCCTGGGATACAGGGCAGGCTGGCCCAGGCTGAATGCTGCCTCCTCCAGGAGTGGCCACCCAACTCACAGCTGGAGCCCCACCTCTGACCCCTTGCTTTGTCCTGCCCCCAGAAGGGTCCTCTCGGCCCCAGAGTAGTTGAGGTGGGGACAAGGCAATGGGCCCCTCCACCGCCAATATAGGACCCAGCCCCCTTCTGCCTGGGAGTGCGCTCAGCTCCCTCTGGGCAGGAAACTTGCCCCCGTCTAGGAGGAAATGGCTCAGTTAGGTGGGCACAGGGCCAGCTCCTTGCTGGACCCAGACTGGGCACCAGGTTCCAACTGTTCTGATGTTTTTGCTGGAAGGTTCCCTGACCTTCTGGCCCCGTATAGCCTAGCACCCAGTGGGGACGGGCTGGGAGGGACTGGACTCGAGGTCCTTTCCTTTTTATGGGCACAGGGACCATTTTCCAAACAAAACCTGGGCCAGTGGGCTGGAATGGGATTCTTTTCTTATCTACTCAATTATTTTTGTGAAAAGTCCAACAAGGGTATAAACATTAGATCACTCAAGAGAGGCATTTAGCAAATCTACATTCCAAACAAAGAGAAATAGGGCTGAGGTCCAGAGGGCAGCGGAGATGCAAAGGGGTGGCCTGGAGCTGGGGCATGACTCTGAGACTTGATCCCGCAGAGCCCACGAGAGCCCACGCCTGGGCCCTGACCAGCGTCCTAAGGAGGTGGGAGACCAGAGCGTCCACTCCCTGCTACCTGGGCATGATGGCAACCCCTGGGGCAGCTGGGATTGGGGCGAGCCAGCCACCTCCCTCCTGAGCCCCTTCACACACACACACACACACACACACACACACTTCTGGCTTTTCTGAGCTATAGCATTGTCCCTCAGGGTGTCCCGCATTCCTTTCATTCACAAATAATTACTGAACATCTGGTAAGGGGATAGAGTGATGGGGGGGCTACAGGGCTAGGGAGGGTATTTTGTTATTTACAGCTGCATAACAAATGACCCCAAAACCAAGCAGCTTAAAATAACAGACATTTATTGTCTCACTTTTTGTGTGTGTTGGGCATCTGGGTGCAGCTTGACTGGTCCTCTGGCTTAGGGTCTCTCACAGGCCACGGTCAAGATGTTGGCGGAGGCTGTGATGTCATCCTAAGGCTCGACTGGGGAAGGATCCAATCCCAACCTCACACCCATGGCTGTTGGCAGGATTCACTTTCTCCTGGGCTACTGGTGGGCCTGGTTTCCCCTGTGGCTGTTGGGCAGGGCGCTCCCTCCATTCTTCCCACAGGAGCCTCTCTATAGGGCAGCTCACAACCTGATGGCTGGCTTCCCTTCAGCAACCAAGCAAGTGAGGGAGAGAGAGGAGAACAGCAGGACAAAAGTCACCATCTTTTTGTAACCTCCCACTGTTTTTGCTGTGTTCTGTTGGTTAGAAGCAAGTCATCCTTGAGAGGAGGGGGTTATACAAGGGTTTGGCAGAAAGTGGGGATCCCTGGGAGCCACCCTAGAAGCTGCCTTCTACAGAGGGCTTCACTGAGGAGGCCTGGATGGACAGAGGGAGTCAGCCACGGAAAGGCTATCGCTGAGGCTCTCACCATGGCCCAGTTAGATCCCCCTGGGTTTCTGAACATTTCTTATAAACTTGACCTGTTCAGTGAGGGGGTTTGGAGGTGGACCACCTGGGCTTGAATGAAGCTTACTAATGGACGTGACCTTGAGCAAGTTGCTCTCTGATGAAGTAGGGCACTTAACCCAGAGCCTGTCCATAGCCTCTAGTGCCCCTCACCCAAGAAGGAACTGGAACTCCGCCTCAACCACACCTTTCTGATGTGAGTAAGGAGACAGGGAAGGAGGCACTGGCTCAGGCAGGTGATGGAGCAGGAAAGGATGTGGGGGGTGGGGGCGGTGTGTCCCCACCCAGGCAGAGAAAGATGAGCACATTTGCATTTCACTTGCAGAGAGCTGTCAATAGGCAACCCTCCTTGAGGAGCTACAACCCCATGCTGCGCATTTTTCTTGCATTACTCCCCGCCCACACCCCCCAGCCTTCAGAACAACCTTGTCAGGAGTTGATTACTGTTTTCTCCCCAGGAGAAAGCTCAAGTTCAGAGAGATGAAGTGACTTGCTCAAGGTCACAGTGCTAATAAGTGAGGGAGCCAAGATCCAAATTCAAGTGGGTCTGACCCCAAAGCCCAGCTCACTACATTTTACAGACTTCTCACGTGATCTGCATATCAGCTGCTTAAGACCTACTTGTGCATTTTGTAGGAATTACTGAGCCCCTCCCATATGCCAAGCACTGAGCTGGGAGTTGGAGAGTCATCAGACACAGCTCTGTCCCCCTTCTATGGGGAAAGCATGTTAGTACAACCCCGCAGCCTGGGGACATAGCCATGGGATGGAGACAACTCCTAAGCCTACCTGGAGGAATCAGGGCAGGCTTCTCAGAGGCGGTGATAAAGGTGCAGAGTTTGCCAGGAGAAGGTGATCCAGACCCATAGAGTCTCACCCGTCTTCATCACGATTCCACTGTAAGCAAAAGAAACATGCTTTTAACTGGTTGGGGAGACGCGGGGGGGCGTGTGTTTGCTAACTTGTGGGTAACCCCCACCTGACCTGGATGTATAGCTTCCTGCAGCTGCACACCTGGGCACGCCAGGCTGGGCTTGACATCTGCTCTGACCTGGCCCCAGCAGAGCCTGTCAAGGGGAAGGGCTGCTGAACAGATGCTTCCCTTCCTCCGCCTCTGGGCCCCGAGGACTTAAGCGCAGGAACCCTGTCCCTGTGCTGGGATCTAGCTGCAGAGCCTGTGGACCACGTGGGCGGAGAGCTCCGGAACCAGGCGAGGGTGCGGGGAGAAAGCCAGTGCTACATTCACAGAGTGGGACTCCCGCCATGCGTGAGGCTCTGTGCCCGGCGGTTCTGCTAAGGGAAGCATTCATGTCCCCGCTGCAGGGCGTCCGGCCCAGCTCCGTATGTGACAGGTGAGGAGAGGGAGCCTTGCAGTGGGAAGGACTTGGTCAAGGTCACAGCCAGCACCAGAGCTGGGAGCTAAGCCTAAGTCTGACCTCAAAGCCCATGTTTTCCCTTTTGCCTCCCCTTCCCTGACCTTCTTATGACCCCTCCTCATCTCCGTTTAAATGTCAGCCGCCCCCTCCCCCCCAGAGGCCACCCCTACCCTCACCTGCACCTTGTTCATCCCCTCAGAGCACACGTCACCACTGGTAATTACATTAATTGGTATTATGTGTTGGTCGCCCCCACCTCTCTGTAAGCTCCATGGGGACAAGGATGGATTGTGTCTGACCTGATTCCCTCGAGCTCCTAGTCGGTGCCCATCAATGCTTGTTGGATCAAAGCCCTCCTCCTGCTGGCGGCAGCAGGTACCGTGCTGCCCGCAGACTGGACAGTAGCCAGTGCCCCCCCTGCTTTGGGTCTTGCCCCCACACCTCTCTTCTACCCTTCCCTGCCACCCAGCGTCTCAGCTGCCTGAGCCCTAATAGAAGATGGAGCCCCTTCATGAATTGCTTGGAAGAAAGCTGGTCCGAGGCTGGAAGGCAAGGAGGAGGGGAGCGGGGCCTCTGAGCCGGCGGACAAAGGGCGTGTGTTCTCATTCAGCGCACTTCCTGGGTTTCCATTGCAGGAAGCTTGGCACTTGCTGAGGTGACACTGACACCTGGGGTGGGGCAGGGGACCCTGGGCCAGGACGCTCCTCCGCCTGGGAGCAGCGGCAGAGGTGAGACAGGTGGCCAGGGGTGCTGGGCGGCAGGTAAGTGGTGGCAGCTGGACCCCCACTTTCCCCTCTGACCTTCCCTCATCCTGAGCCAGTCTCAGCCCAGAGCACATGTGAGGGTGCCCGGGTCCCAGAGTCTGCGTGACCTTGGACAAGGCCCCAAATCAACCCTTTGGTGCCTTATGGTCCCCCCATGGGGTGCAGTGAGGTGGCTTGGGGGGTATCATGGAGATGAAGGAGGGCAGCTGCATTTTCTGTTTTAAAAGCTTTTGGACCCTAACCGGTTTGGCTCAGTGGATAGAGCGTCAGCCTGCAGACTGAAAGGTCTCAGGTTCGATTCTGGTCAAGGGCATGTACCTTGGTTTCGGGCACATCCCCAGTAGGAGGTGTGCAGGAGGCAGCTGATCGATGTTTCTAACTCTCTATCCCTCTCCCTTCCTCTCTGTAAAAAAATCAATAAAGTATATTTTTAAAATAAATAAATAAAAGCTTTTGGGCCCCAGAGCACTTGAAAAGGGGGTTCTACAGCCAAAAGTGTCTGAACACCCTTGGTTCTCACCTTCCTCCCATGGTCATTCCCATCTCCGGTGTCCCAGAGGGAAGCTGTTTTCTTGTTTGTTTGTTTGGTTGGTTAATTCTCATGGGAGGATATTTTTCCTTTGATTTTTAGATTGGGAGGGAGGGGGAGAGACAGAGAGAGAGAAGCATCCATGTGAGAGAGATACATCGATTGGTTGCCTCCCACATGCTCCCTGATTAGGGCCAGGGACTAGGCCTGCAATCCAGGTATGTGCCCTTGACTGGACCCAAACCCACGAGCCTTCGGTGTGCGGGCTGGCACTCGAGAGTCCTGAAGACTCTAACCATTGGAAACACCAGCCAGGCCAGGGGATCTTACTCCAAAGCGGGAGGCATTGTTGCTCAGCCAGGAAGGAGCTGGCCAGAGGCTCAGGCTTCTGAGGTCTGACTCTCCCTCCCTGGTCGCCTCTCCAAGCCTCCACTCCCCAGTCTGAAGGGTGGCAGCCTCACAGCCCTGGCACCCGCAGAGCAGTGCACCCTGGGGCTACTGGTCTGGGTTGGAATCCAGATCTGCCACTCGCCCCTTGTGTAGCCTGGAGCCTCTCTGAGCCTCAGTTTCCTCGTCTGTGAAGCATAAATAAAGCAGTCTCACCTCACAGAGATTTCCTGGGGATCAAACGGCAAGGAGGCCTGGAGGCCAGGCACCGGCTGATGGGAGCCCCACAAACGGCAACAGCTGTGTCTGCTTTGGGATCGCAGCGTGGCCCTGTTACCGGAACCCCAGTGTTTTCTCCTTGTCAGCCTGCCTGCCCGCACTGGCCCAGACACACACGTGAGCAGGAGTTTGCATAGAAAGAAAAATAGTTAATACTGAATTGGCCAATGCTTGAAAAACCTGACTCCTCAATGGTGTGTCGGTTCCAGACCATTTGGGGCACCATCACAAGACTCTGTGGGTTGTGGGATGGGTTGTGCTGGGAGCTGGCTGGTGGGGAGTGAGGGCAGGGCAATAAATCATCTCTTCGGGTCTGGAGGACAGTTCCGAGATCTTTCGCTGTGTTTCTCTGTCTCCTGGGAAAGGCTAGAGGGGTCGGTCCACCTGAGGGCTCAGGAGCTGAAACGTAACTTAGGTCAAGATGAAACGTAACTTGCGCCTGTGTCCTGGCTGTGTGGCATTAGTCAGTCCTGGCTACTGTCTTCTGCTGCCTGGAGGTGGCGGATGATGAGGGGTGAGGAAGGGGGGCGAGGTCTCTTAGCTGTGTATGATTTCTAGGGTTTAAAACTAAGTGTAATCGAAGTCATAGGGACCTTCAGTGTCAGCTGTGAGGATCAAATGAAAAAGGATGACAAAGAGTGGGTGAGGGATTAGGGAGGTGGTAGTGGGGGTGGAGGAGCATGGGACAGTGTCGTGGGCACCCCCTTCCCACCCCCTTGGAGCGTGAGCCCCTCCTGAGCAGCCCAAGAGCCATCGCGGCAGGTGGACTGTAGCTCCCCGACACAGGAGAGCCAGCCCTGCCTGGCCTCCCCCCAGACGGCGCTGGGGCCAGTGCTCCTCTGGCCCCAGCCACTGTGGCTTTAATCAAAAGAACAATCTGTTTGCCTCTGAATCAGACCCAGATTCCTTTTCCCAGCAATGCTCCCGAGGCCTCCAGGGACCCGGGCAGCCCATCCCGGCTCCATCTCCGGCCCCAGGGCCCCGGCTCAGCTTCCCCTCCCCAGGCCATTATCTACCCGCTCCAGTTTGGGCGAAGGTGAGCGAGAGGAGGGAGGTGATGCGTTGCCAACTGCGCCCTGCCTACCGGGCCTCCTGGGGGGGCCTGTCCCCAGGACCTTGGGGCCCACCTGCGTAAGGGTCCCGACAGGCAGTGCCCGCTCAGGACACACGTCCAGGTGGCCTGCCTCGGGGGCCCACGCCCCGCATGTGGTGCCCACTCTCTGCGTTCTCCTCGCCGCCACTGGCATCTTCTGTCCTCAGCCTGACCCTGAAAGGCAGCCATACCCCCGTTTTACAGACCGAGACACTGAGGCTCAGGAAGATGGAGTGACGGCCCAGGGCCACTGGGGTGAGCGAATGGCCCTGGGACCCCATCACCTGACTCTTGGGAACCTGGGAAATTCCAGGCCACACTGAGGGGTAAGTACCCCTCCCCCGTGCTGGGCAGGTAGGGTCACCAGCCCAAGGGATGTAGGGAGGGGAAGGGTAGAGACCACTCGGGGTGCACACGGGACACGGGGGTGGGCAGCGGGGGAGATCCCCCCCCTCCAGGCCTGGGCCCGGGGAAGGGAGGAGGGGTCGCGGGAACAAAGAGAAGGGGAGAGGGCGGCCCGGGGCGAGGCCAGCCAGGTGGGGGGGCAGGTAGGGGGGCGGCTTCCGCCCTGCGGGAGCCCCGGGCCCCCTCCCCCAAGCCTCACCTTTTATGGTAAGGCGGCCGGGGCGCGGGGCGGAGGGAGCCAGGGGGCGGGGAGGGCGGAGGGGCGGGCGGCCCGCGCTGCTCCGGGCTCTGTGGCTCCGGCATCGGATCGGAGCCGGCGGGACGCGGCGGCCCAGGTAAGCTGAGCGGGGTGGGGGTCCCGTCCTTCCGCCCTGCCGTCCTGCCGCCCGGGCCCCGCTACACACAGGTGACAGCGGGCAGCCCCGGGCCGGGCGCACCCCGCCCCCAGCCGGGACCCCAGCCCCCGCTCCGGGGGGCCTGCGGGGCGGGGGGGCGGGTGTCCTTCCGTCTCGGCCCCTCGGTCACTGTCCCGGGCGGGGGAAGGGCTGGGGTCCCTGCCGGCGCCGGCGCCGGAGGCGGGTGGGCCGCGGAAGCTCCCGCACAAAGGACCGCGTCCCGCACATGGATCGGGTTAAAGCCCCGGCGCCCGCGGCGACCCGCTCCCGCCCGGCGCCCGGACTCTGCCGGGTCGGAGAGGGAGGGCAGGGCGCAGGGCTGCCCCTCTGTGGGCCTCGGTCCCCGTCCGGGGCTGGGAAGGGGCGAGCCTGCGCGGTCCCCAAGGTGTGTGCCCGTTGGCCCGGGTCCTGCCCCAGCCCAGACCCGAGGACCCGGGCAGAGGCTGGGCAGCGCCTAGATTCCGGCTCTTCGTCAGCTGGGAAGCGAAGTCCTGGTCCCCCCTCGCCCCCAGGAGCCCAGCCCCCAGGCCCCCCTCCGCTTCCAGGGCTGAGTAACCAGCTGTCCTTGTTGCCCGCAGGACCCAGGACCCAGGATCTTGGGCGCCCTCTCTCTTACCCGCTCAGCCAGCCACCCTGTAGGACAGACCTCATTGCTCTCACTTTAGGAAAAAAACCGAGGCCCAGAGAGGTTCAGTGACCTGCTCAGGGTCACCCAGCAGGAAAGAGGTGGGGCCCTTGTGAACCCAGCCTGTGTGTGTGCTCCCCTTTCTTGGGGTGGGAGAGAGGGAGGGGGAACCCCTATGGAAGGCTGCTGGGACCCCTGCAGGGGCTGAGAGGTGCAGTGCCTCCCCCACCTCCAGCTAAGGAAGTTTACTTCTGAACCAAGCACAGAACAAAGCTTAGAGGGGGGTCCAGAGTTTTGGGAGGGGGGTAGCAGTAGGACCCAGGAGGGGGTGCTGCCTGGAGGCCCTCATCCCCTGGAGGCCCTGCCCTGGGCTGCAGCCTCCGCCGGGCTGGGTGGCTGGCTGGCTGGATCTCAGCCTCCTTCCTTCCTCTTGACAGGAAATGACTTTCCTTCCCTTTGTTCCCACTTTCTCCGCTTACCCAACTGGATCTCAGATCCTGCCGGGAGGGAGGATGGGGTGGAGGGTCTGGGGTCAGCTGGCCGGGACGCTGCCCACAGGGAGCTGTCTCCCAGGTACCCCCGTCCAGGGGCAGAGGGACTGGAGGAGAGCGAGCCTTCTCCTGGGGCCTCGCTGGCCCCGCTGCCCAGGCTTTGCAATTCCCCAGCTGGGCCCCTTCCCCTGGGGCCTGAAGTCCCTACAGAAACCGCAGTGTGTGTGTGTGTGTGTGTGTAGGGTGGGAGTGCCCAGCTGTGAACATCTGGCCTCAGCACTGGGACGTGCGCCTGGGATGTTTTCTGAGAAACCAGCAGATCCAACTTCCTGGGGTGGAATGGGGGTCAGAGCAGGGTGGGAAGGAGGCCGAGGGCATCCACAGCAGGCTCTGGGGACGGCCCAGAGTGCCCCGGCCTCGAGATAATTGGCCCGGATTGGGCCATTCTGGGGTGAGAACGGGCCTGAGAATTTGGGGGCCCCCATGACGTCCAGGAAAGAAAAGTGTGTGTCAGGCCCAAGGATGCCCCGTGGACTCGCGTCGGATGGTGCTCTCTCTGTTAGAATCCCGAGGCTGCCACGGATGCTTGGAAAAGTCACTTACCCTCGTGGGGCCTCACTGGCCCATCTGTCAAGTGGGGGCAGGACGGGCTGTGTGAGAATTGGGTGAGCTGAGGCACAGAAAGCTCAGCCAGCGGCTGGCACACAGCGGGCACTTTATCCGCCAGTGCCCTTGTTGTCGTTTCTTGGATTTAAATCTCAGATGCCCTCTGAAACTTGTTTATAAAAATAGGTAATGAATTTGTAGAAAGGTGTAAAACCAAAGACGATGACAGCCAATATAAGCATATATACACTGAGTGGCCAGATTATTATGACCACCCCATCAGTACTCCATTGACACTTCCAAGAATACTGAATATTGAAAACTTCCTAAGCAAATACTCTCAAGGTTTTATTATTATTATTATTATTATTTGCATAACTAATTCACTTCATTGTACTGACAGGGTGGTCATAATAATCTGGCCACTCAGTGTACTTCCCAACAGCGCATACAAAGCAAGAAACAAAAGGGAAGTGCTTTAAAGAACCTTTGAAGATTTCTTCATATACTGGTGTCTTTTTTGGAAGGGTTATTTTATTATCAGACTGATCGATACATTTTAACCAAACACATAAACCAATTTAAGAGGAATTTCCAAGCATATGGTGTTGTTTTCGTTATTATTATTCTACGTCAGTCGCCAAGATTGCCCACGGTGGCCAGTTGGACTGTGTATGGAGGGAGGCCTTTGAGTGGCCCCGTGGGCTCCAAGGCCACCGGTAGGGTCCCTCGGTGCTCATGCCCTGCCCGCCCAGCCCCACTTCTCGAGGTTTGCTCTCTGGGTCCCTATTTTCTCTCCTCCCCACGAACCTGTGGGCTGGGCTCTGAGGCCTTGTCAGGGTGACCCAGCTGGAGAGAGAGAAAGGGCACGTTCTCCACAGGGTGCCAAGTGCAGCTGAGTGTGAGCTGAGTGTGGTTGGTTTGCCACCCTGGGGCCTCAGCTCAGCCTTGGCCGTGGAGGCTGCTGTCTGCAAAAACCACCCAAGAAATGAAAGGTGGGCTCTCCCTGGTCGGGGAGCCGCCCTGCTCCCAGGTTCATGCTTTGATGCCTGTACCGTGCGCTGGACTCGGCTCCCACAGAAATCCCGGACACGGCTGATGGCACATGCGGTCACTTAGGGAAGGGGGAGACAGGCATGGTGACGGTGAGCCAGCGTGCCCTGGGATGGGCTGTCCTCGCCCCATGGAAGCAGACAGCTGCCCAGGGAGGAGGTAATGTTAGAGCTGAGCCTCTAAGGAAAACTGAAATTCACCTTGTGGTGGGAAACACTCCCAGGCAGGTGAGGGAGAAAGAGTCGAGGAAGGGTGAGAGGTCCAGGTGGTCAAAAAGAGGTTGAGGCCAGGGGAATTGGGGACTTGATCTTCAAGGTGGTCGGGAGCCGTGGAAGGCTTTTGAGTCGGGGAGAAACAACCTCACACTCTAGAAAGGTTACTCCAGGGAGTGGGTAGGAGGCAGCATTGGAGCCCACCGGGGCACCTGCAGCTTTGGAAATGGGACAGGGTGCTATGATTCCAGCAATAGAATCAGCTTTGATTGAATATGGAGACTGATGGTAGGGAAGAGGATGCTGGCCTGTGGGTTGGGCCGGAGAGGGCAGCAGAGCCAAGTGGCCAAGAACTTGGGCCCTGGGTTCAAATCCAGGTTCTGCTGCTGCATGTCCCTGAACAAGTGACTTTCTTCACCTCTTGGTGGAAGGTGGGGATCGCAGCAGTGCCCCTCCCCCAGCAGCGTTGGGGGATTGATGAGTTAATGGGCAGCAAGCGCTTACGGCACAGAGTCGGTCTCAGAGTCGGTCTCGGCCTGATGGTTCTGTCCCCGCTGCCCCGATGCTCTGAGCGGATCAGGCTGTCTCCCTCCCACCGGGGAGCTGGCCTGACCCTTGGGGACTTCAGCGCTCCCAGGAATCGGACCGGGTGAGGGAGGGAACTGGGGGTGTGGCCTGGGCTGGGAGGGCAGTCAGCTTGCTGGGTGGGAGCTGGAGGAGCTGCTCCTTCCTCACTTCTCCGTGGAGGAAAATTAATCAGGAGGAAGATTAATCACCGGGAGGTGAGCAGGGCAGGGTTGCCCTTTGCCCTCCCAGGTGTGTAGGTTGGGGGAGGGGCAGTCAGGACTATTGGGTCCCACCCTGTAGCCAAGTCACCTGGTGAACACCTGCCCGCCCCCAAGGACATCCCAGCCCCTTCCTTAGCTGGGCTGGGCTCTCTGGTGCGGTGGCCGGTGGGGTGGCCGCGCCATCTTGTAGGAGGAGGAAGGCTCCATGCCCCGGGGAGGGGTCTGTGTCCAGGAGGAGTGTATCCTGTGCCCTGAGCCCGCGTTCCACTCCCCCCCAGCCCCCCCGGAGCGAGGCAATGGCCTCACAGCCTGAGAAGCGGGTCGCCTCGTCTGTCTTTATCACCCTGGCACCCCCGCGTCGGGATGAGGCTGTGGCTGAGGAAGTGAGGCGGGCAGCTTGCGAGGCCCGGCCTGGCCGCCCCTGGGAATCTGCTGCCCCCACGAAGGCACCTGGAGCTGGCTCGGCGGGGAGGCCCAGCCCCTGGACACCGCCTGGCAGGGCTGCAGCCACGGGGCCAGCTGCCCCCTCTCAGCTGCCCAACGGAGGTAAGACGGTGAGGCCTGGGCGGGAGGTGAGGCCTGGGCGGGAGACCCGGTCAGAGGTGCACCGGGGTGGGGGAGAGGGTGGGCTCTGAGATGGATCATTCATTTATTCATTCATCGAACACTTACTATGTGCCGGGCAGACTCTGAAGCCCATCTGCCTGGGTTTGAATCCTGGCTCCTCCGCTTAAAATGGGGATGTGACGGTACCTTCCTCAAAGGTTTGTTGTGAAGATTAGATGAGTTGATTCATATGTTTAGCCCAGCACCTATCACATAGAAAGTGTCAAATATTAAAAAAGTGTTAGCTGCTGTTACTTTTCTGGGCCAGACACTTGGGGACATGAATAAAGAGACAAAGTTGTCAGCTTGCACGAGACTTTTTCTGTCCTAGTGGGGAAAACAGATAATAAAAATGCAAGTGCTATAAAGGAATAAAACACGGTGAAGAGGTAAGGAAGTGTAACTTTTTATGGGGTGGTCAGAATGGAGTCTCCAAGGAGGTGGTATTTAGCTAAGGCCTGAGTGACAGGGTGGAGCTGGGGGGAAGTTTGGGGGGGCGGGACAGGAGAGCTTGAAGGACAGTGGGAACAGCAAGTGCAAAGGCCCTGGGGCAGGGATGGGTTTGGCAGGCAGAAGACCTGAAAGGTGGCGATGTTCTCTCTGGGGCTCTGCTGTTCTCTCGCTGTCTCGTGATCTTAGACAAGCTGTCTCCTCGCTTGGTGTCCTCTGGAAAATGAAAATGTGGTCGTGTATGTGACGCATCCATTGCAGAACGGATACTTGGTAAATGACTGTTTTTTTGCCCAAACTTGAGGTGGCCCTAGTAGCGGCGATGAAGGATGACAAGCCAGGGACCCAAGGCAGGGGGGCGGCTCCTTCGCTGTCAGGGCACCAGCTGGAACAAGATGTCATTTCCATGTTCCAGGGTGGCAGCTGAACCCCTCAGGATCCCCCGGTGCCTAGTCAGGCATCCTGCTAGCCTAGGGCAGCCCTGGGCAGCCATCACCATGGAAACCACGCAGAGACCAATAGGAAATGCCGATTACTGGTACAGGAGGCCAGAAAGGGGCCAGAGAAGGGGCCACACGAGCACACACATGGGAGAACGTGGACATTCATGTAGCATGCGTCTTCATTAGGATGCAACCTCCTGCCTTGATCTTTCCATCCCAACCACACAGCCTAACCACACAGCCTTGTTCAGCTGCTTCTCCAAATAGCAGAGCCAGGACCTTGGTGACCCAGATTCACACATCAGGACACTTGATCCAATGGGAAAAAAATATATCCCTTATGGGTAGGAGAGGGAGCTCAAGAAATATCATTTATAGAGCGTTGGCCTGCAGACTGAAGGGTCCTGGGTTTGATTCCAGTCAAGGGCACGAACCTCGGTTGCAGGCTCGATCCCCAGCCCTGGTCAGGGCACGTGTGGGAAACAACGGCTCGATGTGTCTCTCTCACATCAGTTTGTCTCTGTCTCTTCCCCTCCCTTCCACTCTCTCTAAAAACCAGTGGAAAAATATCCTGGGGTGAGAATTAAGAAAAAGAAAGACAGAAATACCACTTACTAGTAGATGCCAAATTTTCCTGGACATTCCCATGGGTTATGGGAATTGTAGGCAGAAGATCCCGGGAGTGTGACAATAAAACCAGACCTTCCTCAGGAAGCGGGGGTCGGGGTGGGGGGTGGGGTGGCTAGCGGGGGAGGGGATTCCCAGGGACTGCTCAGCCACCTTGTTTGCTGGTTGGGCGACCTTGGGGTTCAGCCTGGCAGACGTGAGGTAAGTTCTAAGTGAGCTGCTTGGTCATGAGTCGGGTCTGACTACCGGACACCAAAGCGGCCCTGGGGCCCTGCCTGCTGCTCCAAGCCACCTCTACCGCAGGCTGTCATCTGGTGTCCCCGCAGGAATCCGCCCGAATTTCTGGAGCCCTTTCATCCTGACAGAAGCCCCACCCTTTCCCCCTCCTCCCCTCTCCGCCCTAGGTCGGCCCCACCAGTCTCTTATTCCTAAGTCAGTTTCTCTCTTGGCTTCTCTTTAAAAGGCTGCTGCCCCTCCTCCCGCTCTCTGGCCCCCTTCCTGCACGCCTGCCCTGGGCCTGGGGCCTTCTCCTCATTCCTGCCCCCGCCAGGACCTGTCCACCTTCCGGCCCATTGTCTAGATTAGAACCTAAGGCAGGTCCTGGGAGGGGCTGCAGCATTCCTGCTGGGTCTCCTGACTCACGTCAGGTCCCCTGGAGGTTCTCACACTTCAGCCACCTCAGCATCCCTGGGGGCCTGTTCAAACACAGCCTCCTGGGCCCGGGCCCCACCCGGGTGTCTGATTCAGCAGGTCTGCGGTGGGGCCCAAGAATTCACATTTCTTCCGCATTTCCCGGCAATGCTGACACTCCGGTCAGGGACCACACTTTGAGAACTATGGTCTGGTCCGAAGGCATGGAGCAGGTGAGATGCGGGGCTAGCAGAGCAGTTCTCAGCGTGTGGCCTTTGAACCAGCCCTGGGGAGCTTTGCAGAAGATGTAAATTCGGGGAACGGACCCCTCACCTGCTGGGTCAGGAGCTCCGGGGGGACGCACAGCCCCCTGCAGTTGAACAGGCCCCCCTGAGTCTGTAGTGGGGTGCTCACAGGGCTGGAACAAGCTTCCCATCTGTACAGTCCCCTCAGCCCTTGGGACAAAGGAGAGGGCTTCATGATCTGCATCCAATGGACGGGAATCCTGAAGCCCAGGGAGGAGCCGGGGAATTAGCAGAGCCTGGACCAAGCCCAGGTCTTTACGGGCAGGGCCCTGGGCACGTTCCCTCTTTTCCATGAGTGTCTCAGGCTGGGCACAGGGCGGCCCTGCCTTGCTGCGGCTGGCTTTCCTTGTGCCTCCGAGACAGGAGGTGGGCAGAGTGCCTCTGTGTCCCTTCTCCCAGGACACTTTTTAATATATATATATATGTATATATATATATATATATATATATATATATATATATATATATATATATATATATATATAATTTTATTTCAGAGAGGAAGGAGGAGAGAGAGAAAGAAAAAAACATCAATGATGAGAGAATCATTGATCGGCTGCTTCCTACACATCCCCCATTGGGGATCAAGCCACAACCCAGGCATGTGCCCTTGACCAGAATCGAACCCCGGACCCTCCAGTCTGCAGACCAATGCACTGAGCCAAACCAGCTAGGACCACTTTTTTTTTTAAAATATATTTTATTGATTTTTTACAGAGAGGAAGGGAAAGGGATAGAGAGTTAGAAACATCCATGAGAGAGAAACATCGATCAGCTGCCTCCTGCACACCTCCCACTGGGGATGTGCCCGAAACCCAGGTACATGCCCTTGACCGGAATCGAACCTGGGACTCTTCAGTCCACAGGCCGACGCTCTAGCTCAGGGGTGGGCAAACTTTTTGACTCGAGGGCCACAATGGGTTCTTAAACTGGACCGGAGGGCCGGACAAAAGCATGGATGGAGTGTTCGTGTGAACTAATATAAATTCAAAGTAAACATCATTACATAAAAGGGTACGGTCTTTTTTTTTTAGTTCTATTCATTTCCCGGCCCGCGGGCGGGCCGTAGTTTGCCCACGGCTGCTCTAGCTACTGAGCCAAACTGGTCAGGGCCACTTTTTTTTTTTTTTTTTTAAAGAGAGACAGAGTGAGAGAGAGAGAGAGAGAGAGAGAGAGAGAGAGAGAGAGAGAGATGGATCGGTTGCGTTTGCATCCCGACTGGGGATTGAACAGCAACCTGGGTATGTGCCCTGACCGGGAATTGAACCCGCCACTTTTTGGTATATGAGATGATGCTCCAGCCGACTGAGGGCTGGGACACTGTGGGGCAGTGACAGGATTTTCATGGGCATGTCCGGCAGCCCCCCACCACAGCTTCTCCTGGCCTGTCCCCTCTTCAGGGATGGCTGGACAGGGAGGGCCTGGGGCTGAGACCGGAGCTCTGTGACTGGCCAGCCCCCTCCCCCCTCCCTGCCAGGGCTGTGCGCATGGACTGAGGACCACACCCTCGATGTCACTCCTGTCCCGTGTGTCTGCGTGTTTGCTGTTGGATAGGGGGTGTGTGTGTGTGTGTTTAATGAGACTTTCAGACACACAGAAGTAGAGAGAGCAACACAAGGAACCCTGTGTACTCCACATCCTGTTGCAACAATTGCTAAGACTTCGCCACTTTTGTCATATCGATCCCTTTCTTTCCTTTTCTGAAGTATTTTAAAGGAAACTCCAGTTATCCGGTCATTTCAGCCCCCGTTCTTCAGGATACATCTCTAAATTTGGGCTTTTTTTTTTTTTTTAATGTAACCACGTGGCCAAACAAAATCAGCAGGAATGCCTTATGATTATCTAGTACACAATCCATAACTCATTTGCCCTGAATTGTCATAAAAATGCCCTTTAGCTGTTGGGTTGTAGTGGAATGAATGCGTTACACGGGGTCTTGCCTTTCTCTTGAGCTGTATCATCTAGCGGGATTTTTAGCTTTTCCTCGTTTGCGAAATGAGGAGAATTAAGTGAGATGATTCATGCTTTGAATCAGGATCCAACAAGGTCTGTACAAAAGCTATCCAATAAAAACAACGTGTGCCCGGCCGGTGTGGCTCAGGGGATGAGCTTCGACCTGTGAATCTGGAGGTCACGGTTTGATTCCTGGTCAGGGCACATGCCCCAGTTGTGGGTTCAATCCCCAGTGTGGGGCGTGCAGGAGGCAGCTGATCAATAATTCTCATCATTGATGTTTCCATCTCTCCCTCTCCCTTCCTCTGTGAAATCAATAAAATATATATCTATATATCTATATATAGATATCTATATATATAGTGAACCACAAACGTAAGCATCGTATGTAATTTAAATTTTTCTAGGATCCACATTGAAAAAAAGTAAAAGAATTAAGTGATATTACTTTTCATAATACATTATGCAACCCAGTATATAAAGACTGTCATTTCAGCGTGTGATCATAAAGGTGATTATGAGGCAGTTTACATTCCTTTCTCTGTCCTGAGTGTCCCAGCCCATCTCGGTGTGGGCTGGAGGCAACGTCATAGGACAGGACAAGTGTAAACACTCTCTGTGGCCCTTTTCCTCTAAAGTGTCTTAATTCTGCAGAAGACCTCTCCCCCACACTGACCGGGGGGTCAGGAGGGAAGCTGTGGTGTGGGTGCGAGTCTCGCTGTCCCAGGTGCTGTGGGTCCAGGAGCCAGTCTTTGAGAACCACAGCCTTCGGGGTTGGTGTTGCTTGTATCCCCACAAGGCCTTCTAGCAGGGATTCGGGGCACACTAGCACCCAGGTTGTGGGGGAGGCTGCTTTGACAGCTGCTGTTCTCTGAGCCTGTGCCACATGCCAAGCCCTTGCCTGCATCATCTCATCGTGTTCATAACAATCCTTGGCAACTGATACCCATTTTCCTGCTGAGAAAGCTGAGACCCGGAGAGACTAAGGCTTCTGCCTGAGGACACATCGCATCAAGCCAGTGGCAGAGTCAGATGGACCCCAGGTCTGGGTGCCCCTGGGCCTGAGCCCTCGGCCACCACAATGCATAACCCCTGCTTCCGCTTGCAGGCCGTTCTCTTCCGCCTCCTTCCCGGGATGGCGAGGACGCACTCCCGGACCTGGACCTGCTCCCACCTCCGCCGCCCCCACCAGCATACCTGCCTCCTGAGGACGAGCTCCCAGCCCCCGTGGGGGCCGCGCTCATTTCTGACTTAGAACAGCTACACCTGTCCCCACCGCCACCACCATCACAGGTATGCGACCCCTGACCCTGGCGGAGCCCCATGGGCCAGGGGAGGGAGGGTCTGAGTTTCCTGGGCCTTTAGGGATTTTAAGCCTGGAGATTGTTCGGTCCGTTCTCCTGTTAGAAGACAGCCCCTCTTTGAAGCTCTTTGAGGCTGTAAAAGTGATTGTGCCCCCCTTTTCCCCATCAGGCGCCTTCAGCTCTAAGAAGATGTTCCCCTGGGTCTAACCCACATCCCTTATGCTACATATGAAGCCCATTTTAAAAATGTGTGTGTGTGTGTGTGTGTGTATTTTTTTAATTTCAGAGAGGAAGGGAGAATGAATGTGTTACACGGGGTCTTGCCTTTCTTTTGAGCTGTATCATCTAGTGGGATTTTTAGAGAGAGAGAAACATCAATGATGAGTGATAGTCATTGATCGGCTGCCTCCTGCACACCCCCCACTGGTGACAGCCTATAGTCTAGGCATATGCCCCAACCGGGAATCGAACCGGTAACCTCCTGGTTCCTGGGTGGATGCTCACCGCTGAGGCATCCCTGGCTGGGCTGAAGCCCATTTTTATTTTTTTATAATTATTGTTGACAGTATTACATATGTCCCTCCCCCCCGCCCATTGGCCCCCTCCAACCCGCCCCCGTCCCTCTGGGGACCACCCAGAACCCATCCCAGGCCTTCAGCACCCTACTGTCTGTGTCATGGGTTATGCATATATGCACACAAGGCCTCCCTCCCTCCCACCCACCCTCCCTGCCTTCCCTTGAGGTTCCGCACTCTGTTCCATGTGAAACCCATTTTTAATCCTCTGCCTTTAACAGAGGCCACTGTAGAAATGGGAGGTGCTCTGGGCCAAGGAAAATCCTGATTCCAGGAGCTTCCTTAGAAGGAGAAGGAAGTGGCTTTGCGGGTCCGGGGAACCCAGACCAGGAGCTGGAGGCCCTGGGCTCCAGCCGCCCCTGTGGCCTTCCTGCTGCGTGGCCTGAGCTGGGCCACTCGCTCCTCTGGGCCTCGGCTTCCTCCTCTGTCCCTGGGCTCATGGTGCCTGGAGCCACCAGATCAGGAGCGGAACTGCGAGGGCGGACGCGTGGGGTCCCCCCCGGATGACTTCTCTCCTACCCCCCACCCCTGTGTCCCCACAGTCCCTGGCAGAGGGGCCTCCATCCCAGCCTGGGCCCAGTCGACTCAGGCCTGCAGAGGAGGAGCTGCCGCCTCCCCCAGAGGAGCCTGTTGGCTTCCCGGAGAGAGAGGCGTCCACAGGTAAGGGCACAGGGCTGGGGGGAAGGGGGGGCCCTCGGGGGGCTGGCCTGGGCTTCCACGTGGGAACTAGGACAGCAGGGACCACCGGTGTCTTCTCCAGCTCACGGTTCAGTGCGGGCCTGATAGTTGTACATCAACTTTTTTTTTTATTACCTGAACTGTTTCTCCTGTAGCACTAAAACCCACTTAAAATTGGTCACCAGATTTGCTCTGATAGCAAAAATACCTTGAATTTTTCTCACTATTTAATTTTTTGAGTACAGAAGACCCTCACCTTAAGAGGGTACACAGCATGCTCTTCCCGCTGCCCCATCCCTGCATCACCGTTTCCTTCCCGACAGCCTCTGTTGTTAACATCTGTATATTCTTCCAGATGTTTTATGTGTATGTAAGCAAACACAAATATGTATCCACCTCCCCCCCCCTTCATTTTTCCACAAATAGGAGCAAACTCCATGCTGTTCTGCACTTTCTTTCCTTCGGGCATCTTCGAGCTCATTCCACATCGGAACGGAAAGTGGCTCCTTGTTCTTTTTCTTGGCTGCATAATATTCCTCAGCGTGGCCCTGCCATGTGCACTGAACCAGTCGCCTATGAACAGGCGCCGAGGTGGCTTCTTGCTGTAAAAAACGAGGCCAAGATGAATTGTCTTGCACGTGGGTCGTTTGGCCTGTGTGCAAGTTTGTGAAATAAATTCCTGGGAAAGTGCAGTGGCCAGAGAGGGGTGCATTTGTAACTCCGATATTTTTGCCAAATTGCCTTTCATGATCGGCCCGATCTACACTCCTGCCGGCAGGTCTGCGTGACTGCTTGCCCACAGCCTCTCCAGCGCTGGGTGTTACTCACTTTACAGTGGGGCCTTGACTAACGAGTTTAATTCGTTCCATGACGGAGCTCATAACTCAGATTACTCGTATGTCAAATCAAAAGTGAACGAGTGAGACAGGTGATGCTGGGCTGATGTTGTGCGTTCACTGTGACATTTGCTGCGCCAACTAGCGGTGGGGTATCTGAAGCTGGCTCGTAACCCGAATTTTAGCTCGCAACTCAAAGCAAAAAATTGGCCGAGAGACGGCTCGTATCTTGAAAAACTCGTTAGTCGGGACTCTCGTAAGTCAAGGCCCCACTGTATAAACAGCATTCAGTGCTTACCACGCACCAGAAGGCCTTCGCCACTCCAGGCTTCTGAACTAAATCTCCTCTGGTTTCTCCTAGTGTCCTGGGGTTTCACTTTCCACATCTTCCACACATTTGGGATGATCCGGGTGTGAGGTGTCCTGAGGGAGGCCTCCCCCCACTTTACTGTTTTTGCCGATGAGAACCCAGTTGCCCTGACACTGTGTCTCTTTCCAAAGGCCATTCGCCCTGCTCTCTATTGATCCTCATGACCCTCCCCAGGAACGAGGTCACACCAGGACCCCCGGGGTTCGAGGCAGAGACCTGGCACTCGGGCACGTGTGGGTGGTGACGGGTACAGCGCTCCCAGGCTGGGCGGGTCATGGCCTGTGTCCCTTCCACCCCAGACGTCTGTGCCTTCTGCCACAAGACTGTGTCCCCCCGAGAGCTGGCCGTGGAAGCCATGAAGAGGCAGTACCACGCCCAGTGCTTCACGTGCCGCACCTGCCGCCGCCAGCTGGCCGGGCAGCGCTTCTACCAGAAGGACGGGAGGCCCCTCTGCGAACCCTGCTACCAGGTACCCCCCCTCCCCCGCCCGCAGCAGCTCCCCGGTGCCAGGCACTGAGCTGGGCGCTTGGGAGACGTTATATTATTTCCTTCACAACAACCCTGGGAGGTAGGCACTACTGACCCATTTCACAGATGAGGAAGCTGAGGCTCAGAGGCGGGGAGGAGCTCAGCCAAGGTATATTAGTTTCCTGTGACTAATATAACATCACCACAGACTTGGTGGCACCAAACAGCACACCCTTACCCTCTTACAGTTCCGGAGATCAGAAGTCCAAAATCAGTTTTACTGAGTCAAAAATCAGTATTGAGCTCTACCCCCATGCCCCAATCTCTAGGGGAGAATCCGTTTCCTGGCCCTTTGCAGCATCTAACTTGACATTCCTCGCATTCCTGGGTTCCTTGGTCCACTTTCAAAGTCAGCAGGGTAGCATCTTGCTTCAATACCATACTTCCTGTGTCAAGTCTCCCTCTGGCTCCCTCTGACGGGGACACTTACGATGGCATTTGGGGTCCACCTGGATAACGCTGGGTGCTCTCCCCATCTCAGGGGCCTGAACTCAGTCACATTGCCGTTCGAGGTAGTCACAGGTTCCAGGGGCGAGGACCTGGGTGTCTTGGGGGCTGTCACTCACCTCTCACACCAGGTCACGCTCCAGACGGCGGTGGAGCTGGGGTCCTACCCAGGCCCATCCAGTTCTGGGGCCCGCCTGTGGTCTGGCCGCTCTTACCGAGAGCCATGAGGTGCTGCTGCATGACTTAAAGGGGGAGTCGGTGTCACCTCCGGGCACCGAATACAGTCTGGGAGCGCTGGTTTGGGTGCCAAGGTATTGGAATTGCTGACTCTGCGAGGGGGTGTGGTGGTGGTTACAGTGTGGTGTGCACCCCACTCACAGACGCGTCACCTGGATGTGCGGAGGCCTCACCTTGTCCTCCTGAATTGGCAGCACCTGGTAATCTGCATATATGCATAAAAGACCCCTACAGTTCGTTGTTCCTAAAAGTGGAGCATGGCATTTGACCCTGAGCTTCCGAGTGGCCAAAGGGAAAAGGGGAAGAGTTTCAAGGTTTATCGTCCATAAGGGAAAAAAGCACACCAGTTTCTCTCGGCCTTCCTTTTCCTGACTCTGAGGTTGCAGAGAAGTTTCTTCTACGGGCCCTCATGGACCCTGGCCTCAGCATTTCCTAGTAACAAAACTTGCAGCCATCGCTTCGTAGCAGGATTCCTTACTGTAAGCCCAGGCATGATCCATTTTAGGGAATAGTGGAGGTTTGTTGATCCATTTAGGGAATAGTGGGCCGTAGTTATAGGTCACTTGCATGGATTCGAGCTCCTCTCCTGTACCCCTGGCCTGGGTCAGCCTCAGAGTTGGTGTGAAGCCCCTTGTGGCAAGGCGTGGGCACATGTGTGGGATGGCTCTGAGGCATGGGCCCTCTGTCCCAGGACACCCTGGAGAAGTGTGGCAAGTGCGGCGAGGTGGTCCGAGAGCACATCATCAGGGCCCTGGGCCGGGCCTTCCACCCAGCCTGCTTCACGTGTGTGATGTGTGCCCGGTGCATCGGGGATGAGAACTTCGCCCTGGACAGCCAGAACGAGGTGTACTGCCTGGACGACTTCTATCGGTACGAGGGGGCTCTGGGCTCTGGGCTCTGGGCTCTGGGTGGGGCAGGGAGGACAGGTGGGACTCGGGCAGAAGCGCAGAACTGAGCCTGAGTCCTGGGTCCAAGCTTTCCTGCAGGAACCGGGTCTGCCTGGTCCACACCCTCTACCTGGCCAGGTACCTGATTGCAGCTACCTTTGTTTTTAAATATATTTTTATTGATTTCAGAGATGAAGGGAGAGGGAAAGAGAGAAACATCATTGATGAGAGAGAATCATCAATCAGCTGCCTCCTGCACGCCCCCCACTAGGGATCGAGCCCACAACCCGGGCACATGCCCCTGACCAGAATCGAACCCGGGACCCTTCAGTCCGCAGGCCGACACTCTATCCACTGTGCCACACCAGCCAGGGCTGCAGCTGGCTTTGTGAGCACCTACACTGTGCCGGGCACTGCCCGCGGGTTAGGCTATTTCATCCTCAAAACTAATATAGGAGTAAGTTAAGAACAGAAAGCTCCATTTGAATCAGGCCACGAAGCACAAATACATCACTTCCTGCAGGGCAGGTACTATTCAGGTTTCCATGTTACCAAATGTGGAAACTGAGGCACGCAGCAGGTAAGTGCCCAGGGTCTCCTGGCTGGTGGGTATGGAAGCTGCAACAAACGCCTGTCAGCCTGAATCTGGGGCCTTGCCCTCAACCTCCAGATCACAGTGCCTCCCTCGGAGCTGGAGCCTTAAGAAGCAGCAGCGAGCCCCAGGGGCTGGCTCAGCGGTTGAGTGTCGACCTGTAAAGCAGGAGGTCAGGGCTCGATCCCAGTAGAGGGAGTGCAGGAGGCAGCCGATCAGTGATTCTCATCATTGATGTTTCTATCTCTCCTTCTCCCTTCTTCTCTCTGAAATCAATAATGACATTTAAAAAAAAAGAAAGAAGAGAAGAAAAAGTAGTGTCCTATAATACAAGACCAATGAAATGGGCCCTGGCCCACCCCCCCAACTCACGTGAGAAGTCTCTGCTTTCTCAAACGCTGACATTCCCTAGTCACTTCCTTGCCTCCAGCTAATTATACCCTGGGAAGCCGGGTCTAATTACACACGTCTCTCCGCCGCTCCTGCCAGGAAGAAATAGGCCTTTGCGGTTGTACTCCAGGTGCAGTCACATAGCAACAGGTCTGAAATAGCACTGGGAGCTGACTGAGAGCCAGCCCCCGTTCTGACAGCTAATTTCTGTGGTTGGCGCGAGCGCCTCCCCAGCGTGGGTTCCTTTCCCTCTAGGAAATTCGCCCCTGTGTGCAGCATCTGTGAGAATCCCATCATCCCCCGAGACGGGAAGGATGCCTTTAAAATCGAGTGCATGGGAAGAAACTTCCATGAAAATTGCTACAGGTGCGAGGTGAGTAGAGCGGTGATTTAACGACGCTGTGGGTTCTGTCCGCCACCGCCCGGGCCCTGGGCTGGGACAGGTCAGGGTCGGGCTCGGCCCCCTGCCCAATAGCAAAAATAAATAAGAATGGAAATAAGCCCTAGCTGGTTTGGCTCAGTGGATAGAGCAGCCGTCGGCTGTTCTATCCGGCCCGCGGAGCCGAAAGAGCGGAGGGTTCTCTTGCTCTCCCCTCCGCTCCTTCACCAGCAGCAGTGTTCACATGGCAACGTCGGGAAACACGGCCGCAGCTCCTTCTTCTGAGTCCAGTTTAAGAGCCCATTGTGGCCCTCGAGTCAAAAAGTTTGCCCACCCCTGGGATAGAGGGTTGGCCTGCAGACTAAAGAGTCCCCAGTTTGATTCCAGCCTGGGTTGTGGACTCAACCCCCAGTAGGGGGCGTGGGGGAGGCAGCCGATCAATGATTCTCATCATTGATGTTTCTCTCTCTCCCTCCCTCTCCCTCCCTCTCTGAAATCAGTAAAAATATATATCTTTTTTAAAGAGAATGAAAATAGTTACAAATAGAGTCTATTAATCAGAATTCTTTGGATTAATGATAGAAACTAAATCTGCTTTCCGCAAGAAAGGGAACCACAGGCCCAGCTGTGGTGGCTCAGTGGTTGAGCTTTGACCCGTGAACCAAGAGGTCATAGGTTCAATTCCTGGTCAGGGCACGTGCCCGGGTTGTGGGCTTGATCCCCACTAGGGGTTGCACAGGAGGCAGCTGATCAATTGATGATTCTCTCTCATGATTGATGTTTCTCTCCTCCCTACTTCTCTCCCTAAAAATCAACGAAAAACTTTAGAAAGAAAGAAAGGGAACCATGGGGAGGCTCATGGTGACATCATTAATGATATCGTTAGGGCGCTCTCTCTCTCTCTCTCCATTTCTCTGCCCTTTTTTATGTGTTTGCTTCATCTTCTCTTCCTGTGGGCTGGCATCCTCTGTAAGGACGCGGATGCAGTGCATGGGCCAGGTTTATGTCCTTTTAACTTAGAAACCACATCCGGGATCCCATTCAGCCCCAAGAAGGCCTCTGATAGGCTCATTGTGGGTCACATGCCTATTCTGGACCAATTGTAACTGGACATTCAGGGGGTCCAGGCTGCCTGCCACTACTTGAGCCAGTTAAGCAGAGACAGGGTTGAAGCATATATGAGCGTTTATTCCAATACTGCCAGCAGCTCGGGGGAGCAGAGGGTCATCCACAGAACTCTGCTCTGCAACCCCCGTGAGCCAGCTGCTGATACAGGGCAGGACAAGGATTACGTGGGAGAGTAAGAATTACAGGCGTGGGAAGTAGGCAAGGTATAATGGTTACAGGTATCAGGCAATGTGGGCTGGCGGGTCACAGAGGGCGGGTGCCTCCGGGCACCTCAGAAACAGGAATACAGGCAATAGGAGCTGCAAAGGGCGGGCGCCTCCGGGACTAGATTGTCTCAGCCACGAGGTTGTAAATCTTTCCGTAACGAGAGGCGGTTCTCGGGAAAGGAGGCTGGACTGCATTCCGATGTGAGCCCCCATGTCCCAGGGCGCACTACTCTCAGCCAGGTGAGAACGTGTTTCCTCTGATCAGAATAATCACGGACACCAGAGCATGGTGTATATTTCTTACAATTATAGCGAGTCCCTAATATTCTAATTCTGCCCCTGACACAATCACTGGCCAGGGGCTGTGGGGCCAGAGGCAGAACCATATGAAACAGGAGTTGATGCAACTGTAGGAAGGAAGAAGAAAGGGAAGCAGGGCAGACTCACGCCACAGATGTCCCTTCTGGGTGCTGGGAAAGAGCACGTTTAAATCAGCGTTGAGACTTCCCTAGCCGGTTTGGCTCAGTGGATAGAGCTTCGGCCTGCGGACTGAAGGGTCCCAGGTTTGATTCTGGTCAAGGGCACATGCCTGGGTTGCAGGATTGATCCCCAGTAGGGAGTGTGCAGGTGACAGCCAATCAATGATTCTCATCATTGATGTTTCTCTCTCTCCCTCTCCCTTCCTCTCTGAAATCAATAAAAATGTATTTTTAAAAAATTAAAAACACATAAACAAATCAATAAGCATGGGGACTAAAAAGGCAGCGATGGCGTCTAACCAGGGTGGTGGTAGAGGAAGTGATGCTGACTGCGGGTCTTGCGGGATAAGAGTTTGTCAGGTATTCAGAGAGGGGAAAGGACCTCCAGAAAGAGGCAAGGCCTGTAAAAACCCACTTTGGCGTGAGCAAGCCTGAAGGGTCGGAGCAAGTGGAAGTTCCTGGCTGTGTCTGGAGTGCTGCGTGTGGGAGGGTGTGGTCAGGGAGAAGGAAAGGACCCCATGTTCCAGGCTAAGGAGCCTGGGCCTCGGGCTGCAGGCAGGGATGAGGCTGAGACGGAAGGCTGTCTGGAAGCTAGTGCCGTCGCCCCAGCGAGACATGCCCAGGGAGTCGCACGGGCCCCCACACTCAGACACGTTGAAGCTCTGCTGTTACCATCCATGACAGGCTTCATGTTTGAGCAGGGGTGTGAGTTTTCATTCCCCCCCCACCCCAGGCCCTGCAAACTATATAGTCAGTCCTGTTGGGGAGGCTCTAAAAGTCCCCCCTTCCTTCCACGGTCACCTCCATGCCACTGAGGTGTCTGTCTTCTCCGGTGATGGGTCCAAATGGTAGCAGCTTTTATGGGTGTCACCTAAGTGGGAGCTCCCAGGGCAAACCTCTTAATCAGCTAGTGAGTAATTCTCGTTCATGCAGATAATGGGACCAAGAGGCTGTGTTCACGGAGTGTGACAAGGGAGCTTGGTCCGAAAGTTGACAGATCGCTGCATAATCATGTTGTCTTTGCTGCTTAGAGTCCAAAGTCCGACTGATAACGCATCTTGAAAGAACGATGAGGAAAGTCGAGCGCTGTTATCACCCCCACAGCCCTCCTAAGGTCCAGGGCTGATTCTCATCTCCCTGGGCCCGGTCAGTGAGCAAACACCCCTCCCTGCATGCCCTTGGTCAGCATGGCCAGGGCTGCCGGGCGTCCCGGGCTGCTGCTGCAGAACGTCAGTTGGGACTCCAGCAGTTACGCTCCAGATGGGAAGGCTCAGACCACGGCGGCCTGGAGCTGATCGGGGTGCTGCTTCTCCAGGAAGGGAAACGGGTTTCGAGGTGCCGTCCACGCTCCTCTCGTCAGCCCTGTTCAATATGGTCCCCGTTACTTCCACTGCTGGGAGGGGAACGATACTTTTGTACCTGGATCGTGTTTTTTTAGTTTATAAAATGTTTTCGTGGACGTCGCCTCATTTAATCAACTATGACGATGTTGCGAGAAGGGAGTTATTGTCTCCATTTAAGATGGGGAAACTGAGGCTGAGAAAAGGGGTTCCAATCCTTGTTCGCCCGGACCAGGTCTAGCCAGCTGTCTGCCACCCAAAGCTCCTTCCCAGGCCGTGTGACTCGGTCATAGTGGAGATGTTTCCTCACTTGATTCTAATTTAGAAGAGGTCACATGTGCCCCTTGGGGACTGCGTGTTTGGCACTGATGCTCTCAGAGTGCCAAACAAGCGGCAGACGGGAATAACAGGGCTCCCGCCCGGCATTGAATAGTCCTTGAGAGACTCCAGGTGCAGTTGCAGAAAAGTGACGCACGAGGGCGCCCTCTGCTGGCCTTGCTGGGTCCGAAGGGCACCCATGTGCCCAAAGTTGTCTGTGGGGACCAACTGATGAATGCAGCTTCCAGGGGATGCCAGCCACGCCCCGAACCGAGGCCGCCGGCATTCATCGTCCCCATTCCTCCCCAGCATGTGCCCTGGTGCAGCTCAGATGGGGTAGGGGCTTACGAGCCGGGTGGACTGAGCAGGCGGGGCTCCAAACCCCCATCTTCCTGGTCTGACATCCTTCGGTGATTTGAAAAATTGGGGTTTTAAAGCATGTGCCAGTGTTGAAGCTGTGCAGGAAGTGGAGCGATGGAAAGCCCTCTGGACCCTGAGTCTGGGACCTGAGGCCAGCCCCACCCCTCCCTGGGCCTCAGTGTCCCCACCTGTGCGCTGAAGGCCGGGGCTGGTTTAGTTATTCACTCAGCACCTGCTTACTGTGAGCCCACGGCGCACCAGGCTCTGGGCTGGGCGGGATCCAGCAGGAAGTAGGGTTACTGCTTCACAGAGGTTACATCCTAAAGGGCTGCTGGGTGGTGGCTAAGCCTCTTCTAGCTCTTTCCGTAACCCCTCAAGGGACGTCACCCAGTGTCCTCAGCTGTCCCCTCAACTGATGCTGCTCATCACTCACAGCCCCGCGTGGGGGGAAGCGCCGCGTGCCTTGTCTTCCCTGATGGAGACCTGGCCCAGGTGTGCTGGGGGCACAGGAAGGAGGAGCCGCCGCCTTCCTCACCCTCAGGGAGTCTGTTCACTGGCTGAGCCCCTCCCTGGGGAGGCTCCGTGCTGCCTCAGGCCTGGGTCCACCCGCATGTCTCTTGTCCCCACAGGACTGCAGGATCCTCCTGTCCGTGGAGCCCACGGACCAAGGCTGCTACCCGCTGAACGACCGTCTCTTCTGTAAGCCGTGCCACGTGAAGCGGAGCGCTGCGGGGTGCTGCTGAGAGCACCCACCGCTCGCCCCGGTCGGGGTCCCTTCCCTGACTCAGTTTCCCATCCTGGCCTGCTCTTGCACAGTTCCCTTCCGAGCCACTACAGGGACCAGCCCATCCCGTCTGGGGTGCAGGGCTGAGCCACCCCAGCCCCAGCCTCCTCCTAGCTCAGCGATGGGTGGCTGTAGACGGTGCCCCTCAGACTGTCGCCTCTTCCTTCCATCCTCTGGGCACGGGGCATCGCTATACCATGAGCATCACACCTGGGTGCTCACGTCCGAGGCTCTGGTCGCTCTTGTGTGCTGGCCTTGACCCCCCATTTCCAGGAGTGAGTTGGGGCGAGTTTCGGGTGGCACCCTGGGTCCCTAGCAATGACACTTTAGCTGTCCCATAAGGTGCTGAGATCAGCCCTGGCTTGCAGGACTGAGCCATTTGAGTAAAACTCCAAGGTTCCTTAAAAACCGCTTTTTAAAAAAGTTAAATGATGGGAAACATTCTTTGGATTTTGTTTTTGTTGGGGGTGCTTGTATCTTAATAGGAAATGTCTCCCATTTGTTCATAAATGGACAAGAATGGTGGTGCATGGCCGTGGCCTTCTCACCCGGGGGACATGGGGCCCAGGACCGGCTGTGAACCTAGGACGGGGGCAGAAGGAAAGGGTGACATGTGCCGACACCCAAGGACATTGGCCATGCTCCACCCTGCCGCCTGGTGCTCCTGTGTGCCAGTCAGCTGACATTGACCGGGTGCCTGTTGTTTGCAGGGGAACAGGGTGCAGGTGCTCTGCGTGTTCCTCCTGCAGCCTTGATGGAGGCTGTGCACCCCCCCCCAAAACCTACCCTCCTTCAGGACAGTGCCAGGGGGGGCTGCCCCTTCAGCCCCTTGGTTATCTCCCCAAGTCCCACTTGGACCCTCCCACAGGCTGCCCTGTGACCACTGCCTCTTCAAGGCCACACCTAGAAGATCCATCTTCCCTTTTGAGGAAAATCACTTCTGTTGCTTTGTAACCTGAGGCATTTTGTAGAACATGAACAGATGAAGACGTGCTTTGCTCCCTGGGGTCTTGATGCACCACAGGCTCCTAGGAGGCTGCCCCGGGCCCCCAGCTCCGAGAGCTTGTCTGTAGAGCCCTGAGGGCTTCAGAGCAGAGCACAGCTTCTTGCCTGAAGCTGGGAGGAGGGGTCCCAGACTCCAGGGCCACAACGGGGATCATCAAAGACCTTACATCCTCTCGTTTCCTTAATATTCTCTTTAAACATCAACATACTTTTTTTTTTTGCTCCCAACTTTAGTCTTGTGCTAAACAATATATCCATGCAGTCACTGTTGATGTGCTAGTTCTATTTTTTTCCTATTATACATGGAAATAAATGCGTAACTATTAGAAGTCTATCTGTGTTCCGTCTAAGATCTCGCCTAGCTAGACACGAACCTTTGGAGTAGCCTTGGGACGATGCTCATTGGGCGTCTGTTCACAGTGACACGAGTGTAAGTGCATCCTTCCCTGCAGAGGTGCTCAGCACAGCAGATCGGGGGACTCATGCCTAGCAAGCAACTCGGATCTCAGACCTGGTGCTGACACTCAACAACGTGGACTAGTTCTGAATCCTCTGAGCCTTGATCTTCTCATCTGTAAGATGGGAACAACTTTACTGTCCATCATATAAGGTTGCTGTGATGGACAGAATGTTGGGCTGGCGGGTTGCTGACTAGTTAACCGAGTCACCTGCTCTCTCTGGGGCACTGGCCAGTAGTACTTGGTCATTACTCCTTGTATCAGCATTCCTCAATGACCCTGTTGAGGCCCATCCATCAGAGACATGCCCCAGGCAATAAAGTGGGGTTCATTGTGCTTGCTGCGGCACACAGCCCGCGTTAGGAGGGACTCACAGGACTTGGGCAGGTGCTGAGGAATTGGGAGAGGAGTTAAGGAAGTGGGGGTTTGCTCTGAGTGTGTGCTCTCCGGAAGCAGGGGTAATGCTATGATTGAGAAGCTTTTTTTTTATATCGAGGGTGTGGCCCTACAGCTGTGCTTGGTGGGGAAGCAGCAGTGCTCGGAGGATGGGGTGCTGGTCATTTTTGCAGCGGGCCCAGAGGTGGCCACAGTGAGCTGTGAGGTTGGAGCCCACCAAGGCCCAACTCTGAGGGCCAGGCCAGCTCCCTGTTGTCGGGCCACTGGCTTGGTTTTTCCTGCCATTAAATTATACCCTTGTGCTGTGATTGCTTATGGCCCAGCCTGTGCCCGGTTGGTGGTTTTGGAGGGATGTGGTCTGGATGAAATCTGGGGGGTGCTTTTGTCTTCCAGGCTGCACATTTATACACCACTTCATAGAGGGGACACTTCTAGGGGGGTTTCTGCAGTGAGAAATAAGCCAGTCACAAAAAGATGTGCTGTATGATTCCACTTAGATAAGGCATCAGGGGTAGTCACATTCATAGAGACAGAAAGTAGACGGTCCTGTGTGGAGAGCCCTTCGGAAGGTGGGCTGGGGCGGCGTGGGCTGGGGAGTTGTTTAAGGAGTACAGAGTTTCAATTGGCACGATTAACAGTTTAGAGATGAATGGGGAGATGGTTGTACGATAGTGTGAATCGAATGCCACTTAAAAATGGTCACGAGGCTACATTTTGTTATGTATATTTTACGACAATTAAATATGTATATTTAATGCTCAGGGACAGAGAGGGGCTGATAAAGTGATGTAGGAGTCCTGAGAGGGGAGATAGGTACCCCTGACTGGGGTCCTAGGAAGGCTGGTCATGCAGCCTGCAAACCCAGGGAGGTGTTGCCGGCTGACCTGGGCTACCGCGCACAGCCACTAGAGGGCAGCGTGGGCTAGCGAACTGGGCAGGCTTCTCCAGATGCAAGAGGGGAATACTTCCTGCCCGCCTACTGTGCGCGATTGCCATGAGGATGAGAGACGAAAACTGTGGCCTTGCTGCAGCCAGAATACACCCTCTTGGAGGGAGGCCTGTGTTGGTCTGTCACCCCTGCCCAGGGCCCCCTTACCTGAGGCCACACCCAGGTGTTCGAAGGTGTAGTTCACACCAGCATGTGTCCATGGCAGCTGAATGCTGCTCCCCACACGGCTAGGAACACAGGGGATGGAAATAAGGACTTCATGGGGAGCCCACAGGGGACAGGAGGAGGCTGGGCTGATCTGAAAATATCCCAGTGACCACATTGTCAAAGAAATGTGGTTAGTCTGATCAATGTAAAAATACACTTCTCATAAGGTGAATAGCTGCTCATTAAAAATATTCACAATCTATGATGTAGGTACCATCACTACCCCGATTCAGAGACAGGGACAGGGCACATCAGAGAAGTGGTGTAACCACCCAGGGCTGCGCAGTGAAAACTACAGGCCTCTGCCACCAACTCAGGTCACAAACACGTACCTTCCGGAATGTTCCAGATGCCAACATCCAGCTGAAAAAACATAACTGCCGTGCACCCTTCTTCTTAAATGCTGCTGCTTTTAGGCTGTAGGCCTCCCGCTTGCCCGTGAGATGAACTTCCCCAATTCCTTCGGAAAGGACTTTGTACCCAGAGTGTGAGTCATCCTGACCTCGTGAGCGGTCATCAGGTTAGAGGCCACGGAGCGCACCCTCTTGGTGGCCTTCCTGCTGCCAAGGAAGCGTGCACGTCAGTGGAAAACTACACGCTGTCCACAGCAGACCTTCCTGGGCGTTGGAGCCCAGTCGGGCGCTGCCTCTGAGCTATGTTTCAATGTAAACTGCGGGCCACTGGTCAGTTCTGTCCCGTCTGGGAAGCAGCCCTCAGCCCCTTGTGGGGGAATCACTTTCAACCCATCTGCACGTTCATTTCGATATTCCTTCCTGACCTGTACACGGCGTGTTCTTCTGTCGCCCTTTGGAGCTGGTCATTCATAACTTGTCCACCCGGTTCCCCTGGGACAGGGGTGGGGAACTTTCTTCTGCCAGGGACCATTTGGACACTTATAACATCGTCCTCTTAACATCATTCACTTAATGTTCATGTTTGTTGCTATGAAAAAAAGCTCCTAGATTTATTGAATTTCGAGTCCCGCCTGTGGTGGCCTTGGCAGGGCCAGACCAAATGATTTCGAGGGCTTATGTGGCCCTCGGGCCGGACGTTCCCCACCTCTGTCTCAGGAGCAAAAGGAAATGTGTAACATGTGTTGATTTTATATCCGTGTGGGAGTCATGGTTTTACCTCTTTGTGAAAAATGTGATGCTTCCTTCATCGGATGTGTATGGGTGGCTCCTTTAGGCCAGAAGAGGTGGTGTTTAGGAGCCTGGAGAAGCAGCAGACAAAAGCCGGGTGGCTCAGTGGTTGAGCATAGACCTATGAACCAGGAGGTCACGATTCGATTCCCAGGTTGTGGGTTTGATCCCCAGTTGTGGGGCATGTGGGAGGCAGCCAATCAATGGTTCTCTTTCATCATTGATGTTTCTCTCTCTCTCCCTTCCTCTCTGAAATCCATAAAAATATATTAAAAAGAAAAAAGGAGCCCAAACCGGTTTGGCTCAGTGGATGGAGCGTCAGCCTTCCGACTCAAGGGTCCCAGGTTCGATTCCGGTCAAGGGCATGTACCTTGGTTGCAGGCATATCCCCAGTAGGGGATGTGCAGGAGGCAGCTGGTCGATGTTTCTCTCTCATTGATGTTTCTAACTCTCTATCCCTCTCCCTTCCTCTCTGTAAAAAAATCAATAAAATATATATTTTAAAAAAAGGAAAAAAAAGAAAGAGGGGGAATGAGGGGGAGGGGGAGCCACAGGTCTTAGCACATCCTAGGCGCTCTCTCTGATTGAGCCTGTAACCAGCTACCTGACCTTCAGACAACCCTTTAGGCCTGAGGACAGTAGAAACTGACTTTTATTTCCTGAGTTCTTGTGTGGGGTGAGGCTAGAGCAGTCCGCTGATTGATTCTTCCTGACAAGAAGCAGGTTTCAGCAGGGCTGGGTAGCTTGCCCGTTCAGGTACCCAGACTGCCTGCCCCTCAGGGGGCACGAGGGCCACACTCACAGCTGCTGGGGGCTGGTCCCGGCTTCTCCATGCTGGTTCCCGGGACCCTCCCAACACCTCTGCGTGGGAGGTTCTGATCATCCCCATCTTGCAGGTGAGGAGACGGGGGCTCAGGGAGAGGCTGTGACTCGCCCACAGCCAGTGGCCACATGGGACTGCACCCTGGGATTCCTAACGCTCAGTCTTCAGGGCCTGGTCAGAGCAAGGTCTGAAATGGCCCGTCCTGCTCCCCAGCGAAGGGGCCCGGACGGGGGGCTTATTCAAACATAACCCTTAAGTGATGTAGGCTCCTTAGTCATGATGATGCCGACAGCAATGACCACAGCGGCCACTTCGGGGGCAGGGAGATGCCCGTAGACGTGATCTCATGTAGTCCTTGAAGAAATTGCTTCTGATCCACCCTTCAGGCTGGGAGACAGGGCTCGAGGTCACACCCCTCGTGCCTCTGGCCCTCGCCTATGGCAAGGCACTCACCTCCCAGGCTCTTTCCTTCATCTGAGATAATTACCATTATCAACACATGGGAAGAGATTCAACAGCTTCTGACTCAATGCAGCTGGGGTTCCTGCGTCCTTATGTAAGATGTCACAGAAGGGGAACTGCGGAAGGGTGTTTGGAAACTGTGTGACCTTTTGCAACGTTTCTGTGAATCTAAAACTATTCCAAAATTAAAAGTTTATTTTAATAAAAAGTAACGGGATAAAGGGGCGGGCCTGTGATCTCCAGGAGACGCTGTCTCTCACTGATTCGAAGACACAGGACTAGAGGAGGCCACCAGATACTTATCTGCAAACTGGGACACGGGAGAGAAAATGTCTGGAACCGGGGGAGGGGGTCCACGCAGGGAGGAGAGGGCAGAGAAGGGGAGATGCAGGACCCAGCCAGTTTCTGCGGGTTCCTGACTGTTCCCGGGACTGGAGCAAGCCCCTGGTGGCCCCCGATGGCCAACGTCAGGCTGCCAGTGGAAACCAGAGCTTTGGGGCTGGTGTTCCCGAACCCTGGGGCCTCCTGAGCGTGGGAATGCTGGGGTGGGGGAAGTGCTGGGGCTCCCCTCCACCCCCGCAACCCCTAGACAAATGCCAACTAGGAGGTAGGTGGTGAAGGGTCTCAGAAAATCAGGATGACTTCTAGCCAGGGTAGCTGGCAACTTTTCCCCCCTCGGTAAACAGAGAAAGGATTCTGGGGAAGACATAATACAGCCCAGGAGTCTGGAGCTGGCCCTTTAAGCAGTTGGACGTTTCAAGCCGATAGGGAGAGGCTGGCCCAGCTGGAGAGAAACCGGAGAGGTATCAGCCTGAAGGCCCGACCAGCCGGCAGTTTGGCGGAGGCCAGCGAGGGTTAGGAAAGCTGTCTGGGGCCTGTGAGTCATGGG